CATTTCAAATTTGATCGTTTTAGTGCAAGAGAGTTCAAGATTATCAGCATTTATAAAAGTTCATGTTTGGTAAAAAAAATATCGAAATTAATTTATATCTTCTAAACGGTAATAGATAGGTATAGGGATATAGTATATGAATTTGTTGACAAAGTGATAATGAATCATAATATGATATTATATACGGGGTGTTCCATTTGAAAAATCAAAGAAGCCGCTACTTTATAGTAGAAGCGACAACGCCGCTTCGTCTGAAATATTTTAGGCGTGTAGGTCACATTGATTTATGTATACTGTGAAATTTTCAGGTTGATCCGTTAAATAGTTTGTCAGAAACGGCTAATTAACGCTCATCATGAAAAGCCCTGTATTCGTCATAACTATTCAACTCAAATGTATTGCTGAGCACGCTCATCACACTGTTACCGAAACCTTTTAAAAAAAGTACGAAAAAAGTTCTAGATCTGATGTAAAAGTACCACTACTATTACTATTCACCCTTTCCCGTACTATAATCGTCATTTTCATTTGACATTCCAATTTGAAACATCCAAAACGAGTGCTGCTACCAAACATTCAAGAAATCATTTGGTTCATCTCCTGGTATCACCGACTTTGTTGGTGAAACGCGCGTCAAGAAGGGTGTTGCATTTCTTTTGTTTTGGATATATTGTACGCCAGAGGTTCAAGTTTTACCTTTCAGTTCCAATTTGACATTAATAAAAAATGCAGTGGTAAGAGACCGAACAATCAATTTTTGTTTAGAAAAAATCAACAATGAAAGAATGATTTTATGTAGTATAGATGGCATATATGCCACTCGGTAAAAATCGATATCAGTTAAACTGTTCCAATAATCAACATGTTACAAGAGTACTGAAATATCAAAAAGCGTTACTACTAAAAGTATTATAAGGTACCAAATCTATTTTTGAAGTACTAAAACGGTAACATACACATGTTTGACACTCGATTGACCATGAACGAACCAAAAAATACAGCACTGAGTCAACAGAAAAGGTAAACGTCTGTAAGTCGCATCAAGAGCAAAGTTATCGAGCATAAATAATTAAAACGATAGGATTGAGTTGAGACTTGTTTATTATAACAAACATTGAATCTGCGAAACCAACAAATTATAATAATACATATTACAAAAAAATTAACAAAGCAATGAAAAACGAATTAAGTGAAAAATAGTTCAGTCCAATGCAATTGGTCTCAGCTTGGGAACTTCAAACAGCAGTTTTCCCCTCAACTCGGATAATAAATCGGTCCCACCTCTAGATTTGCTTTCATCGAGACGTTTGTAAAGTTGAATTGTTTGTCTCACTTTATTTTCAAAATATTTTTTAGCTTCTTGGTTCCTAGCGAAAAATTCGTTCATTTCCTTCGTACTGACCGAGAAAATTTCGCATGTCTCCACGGCAACATGAGAGAAAATATGTTGTAAATCGGGTGACGTCCAAAAAGAAATGAGGCCAAAGTGATCCCCATCTTTTATGTGAATTATTTCTTGATCCTTAGTATTCAAAACGGCTACGGTTCCATAACAAATGAAGTAAATCTTATTAACTATGGACCCTCTTTTCGAAATCACGTCGTTGGTTAAATAAATTGTGGATTTTTTGTGCATGAACAGGTCCACAAATTGTGTCCTCGAAATCAATTGAAAAGCTTCTATTCTCAGTAAGAGTTTTCTTGCGCTGAATAAAAGTATTTCTGTTCTCATGAAGTCGTCCATGTCAGAAAAAATATCATCCTCGTTGAAATGGTGCCTCATATATTTACATTCGTAGTAGTTCACCAACTTTTTTCGCAAATCTATTGGGAGGTTTTCGGATCGCATCAAAGCATTCAGTTGGGCTAAATGGCGTTCATATTCACTTTCAGAAGTACCCGTGAAGCCGAAAACTCCTAGCAGATCAGCAATCAGAAATAAGGTGTATATCCGTCCTGAGAAAATCATTATGAACAAACACAATTGTTCTTCAGGAACAGTTATATCTTCCGAATAATCTACTCCCAGAAAATTACAGATAACAAGCAGACAACATTCCATGTATAAAGAAGAACGAGAGGAAGCGCGGTTTTCAACAATCTGTAATAATGATCCATCGGGAACATCATCTTCATGAATCCACAAAGGAATAGCATAAATCGAACATGTGAAAGTGTGAATCAAAAAAACTAAAAGAAAAGTGTGGTATGCGATAACACAGAATGATTTCTTGGCGCTGTGAATTTGTATGAGGTCTTTGACAACATTCAGAAATGTTTTTAACCTAACCAGATATGATAAGACTGGTATGAAACAAAGAAAACTATAAACACTTTTCCATGAAATGAATACATCAGAATATGTATTGTTGATTATAAAAGAATGACATAATGCTACTATGTCGAAAAAAAAGTATGATGCCACGTAATTTTTCACTATTTGTTTTTGATCTATAATTATAGCCTTCATATTGGAATCAATAAAACCGGTGAAAAATGTGATTATTATTAAGAACACATGTAAGACATCGATAGCGATAGTCGGATATCTAATATGATCATTATAAATCTTACTGGAAATTGAATGGAAAATTAGCACAGTGAAATATCTCCAGGACCAAATAACAAAAAAAATTACCTCTAAAAGAATACCTATCTTACTCAAAGGGTGAATTATATAAAAATAGGAGCTTTTAATATGTCTCCTCATCTCAATTCTCATCGGGGATTTCAAACTTCCAAAAAATTGGTTGCATTTCTTGCTACAAAGATCTATGGTTATCATTTCTTGAAATTTTCTTGCAAGTTTTTGACATGAGGTTGCGTTTGGATGCAGAGGCGGTAAAATGTGCCTAGTTTTGTCGCCTGCAAGTCTGCAGATATGTTCCATCTTGTTTGGTTTTTATGTGATATTAAATTGCTTCCAACTCAACAATTCATGTTTGACTTTGAAGTAAGGTCTTTTCAATTGACGTTTGGTATCAGCGGTTGACGTAACTGACATTAATTTGTTAAACAGTTATATTGGTACAATTGGCCATATTTAAAGGTGCGTATCCATATGAGCTAATGTCCCATAACGTAACACCAACATGTTCGACTTGGTTCGCAGTTTTGAGTTACTGCTGTATCGATCATTCCGTAACGTAGTTGAACGAAGTTCTAAACTGGAATTCAATACATGAATGGCTCTATCTAAATATATATCGCTACATGCTATTAATGTGTCATCTGCAAATGGAGTTATAAATCCACAACCCATGTATAAATTAATATCATTCAAGTACAATATGAAAAGCAGTGGACCTAAGACTCTACCTTTAGGAACACCCTATATGCTATTAACTTTTACTCTCTGTTTTCTGTCAGTCAAATAATAGTGAAACCAATCATAAGTCTGATTCTGTCTGCCATATCTTTTGAGTTTTTCAGGAAAAATATTTCTCTTTGTTTCCAATGCTTTTTTAGGTCAAAAAGTACCTAAGTACATATACAGGGTCGCTGATATGTATGGATACGATCGATTATCTCTTAAAATAAAATAGCTAGCGAAAAACGTTAAGATACAAAAGTTTCAAGCCTTTCCAAAATCTTTCACACTGAATAAAAATTGAGTATACAGAATCAGTCAAAAGGTCTTATTCCATATTTCAATTCTGCTCAAAATTCTGAACAAAATTTATATAGCACATCATTTCCTAAATTTAACCGTTTTCGATATATCGAATTTTGAAAATAACTTTCTACTACTCTCAAATTTATTAAAGAAAAAGCACGAAATTGTGGATATTTACTATGAAATTCACACAAGGTATAGTATGTGGATATGATTGCAATTTAATTATATGTAATAATAAATAGAATAAAAGAAGCATAATTGTTAAGGGTTGATAAAAATGCATGAAAAGATAAATTGTATTTTTTAGTGAATGTTCAGAACATTTAAAATTTTATGAAAACAATAGTTATGCCTCTTTTTGGAAGATTCCCTCATCGTTTTTTTTGTATCAAGATGGAGTAGTAGAAAGCCAAAAACTTTCTTTCCCAAAGAAAAAACAAGTTTTAATAAACAACAAATATTTTCTTCAGAATTCTATTTGATAAGGTGCTCAAAGTGTTTACCATTCACCTTCCGACAGTAATGAACTCGCTGAACAAAATTTTGTAGTGAATGTAAAATCATGTGTGGGGGAATGGTAGAAATTACATGCCTTTCTTACAATTCTTCGATATTTGGCGGCCTATTTTTGTAGACTAAATTTTTTCATATGATCCCATAGAAAAAAGTCAAGTGAGGTCATATCGGGAGACCTAGCTGGCCATTCAATTGCTCCCCTGTGCCCAATCTATTTATCAGGAAAAGTTTCTTCAAGATATGCCCGTACCACACGTCCAAAATTTGGAGGAGCCCCATCTTGTTGAAACCATATTTGTTCTGCCGGCAAATTGGGATTGTTATTATTCGGGAATAATCGTCTAAGCTCTGGAATAATATGCTCTTGTAAAAGTAATGAATATCGTTCAGAGGTTAAATTTCCGTTTATGAAATAGGTCCTATGACGTGTCCACCAATTAATGCCACACCAGACATTTACTCTTTGTGACAGTTGAAATTTTTGTAAAATATCATCAAAACATAGAAAGATAGATTTAAAAAAAACATAGAAGATAACATAAAAACGGAAAATTGGGTGAGACGAATTTTATTCCCTACAAAGTCTGAAATGTCCAATGTATTTCTCTGTGGAATAAAAACAATGCGTCAAAAATCAGTTTTTTTATCCTTATTTTGATTAAATTTATACTTAATGATTTCTATTTTGATGGTAGTATATTGTATAGATAATAACTCAGTGAATTTTTCTTGGATTTGGTTAGGCGGAACCTGTTTTATCTCAGGTTATCTGCTTATCTGTGAGCATCGAGGGGTTTTTGTAAATCTCTGTTAGAACTTGAAAATGTACAAACACGGCAAGGGCATTATTCTGTGTTTAATAAACGAAGATTGGCAGTGTTTCAGATAGCTTACACAGGACAAGATCCTGACAGCTTTTTTCTGTAAACGAAAAACTGCTAAATTTAAAGAAATGAACTTTAAGTGTTCAAGCCAGTTTTGGATATACGCATACACCGATAGGCGTCAGTGCAGGAATCTTCACAGAAAAGTTCCTGCATATGCAGTTGGCAATACAACTGAAAGAGTCGTTCGGATTTATTAGCTAAATCTAAGTGAATTCTGTGCTGATCTGATCTCAGTTTACAAAAATAAAGGAACGTCGTATCATCAGCAAATGAAATAATTTCCACCGGAACCATATAGTTACTTAAATCGTTAGTATACACTATGAAAAACAACGGTTCTAATATTGACCCTTGAGGAAACATAGATAATTGAGACGATATGTTTGAGTTGAATGTCGTGTTATTATTTATAATAAACATTGAATCTACAAACCATAAATTATAACTTATATATTCAAAAACATGAAAATTATAGAAACTAACAAAGGGATGAAAGTCGAATAGATACAGTAAAAAATATTTCAGTCTCTTGCGAATGGTCTCAGCTTGGGAACTTCGAACAGCAGTTTTCCCCTCAAATCAGATAATAAATCGGTCCCACCTCTAGATATGGTTTTGTCGATAAGTTTGTATAGTTGAATTGTTTCTCTCGCTTTATTCTCAAAATATTTTTTAGCTTCTTGGTTCCTATAGAAAAATTCATTCATTATCTTCGTACTGACCATGAAAATTTCGCATGTCTCCACGGCAACATGAGAGAAAATATGTTGTAAATCGGGTGACGTCCAATAAGATATGAGGCCGAAGTGATCCCCATCTTTAATGTGAATTATTTCTCGATCTTTAGCGTTCAAAACAGCTACGGTTCCATAACAAATAAAGTAAATCTTATCTACTGTAGACCCTCTTTTTGAAATCACGTCGTTGGGTAAATAAATTGTGGATTTTTTGTGCATGAACAGGTCCACGAATTGTGTTCTCGGAATCGATTGAAAAGCTTCTATTTTCAGTAAGAGTTTTCTTGCGCTGAATAAAAGTAGCTCTGTTTTCATGAAGTCGTCCATAGCAGAAAAAATCTCGTCCTCGTTGAAATGGTTCTTCATATATTTACATTCGTAGTAGTTCACCAACTTTTTTCGCAAATCCATCGAGAGGTTTTCGGATCGCATCAAAGCATTCAGTTGGGCTAAATTGCGTTCATATTCACTTTCAGAAGTACCCGTGAAGCCGAAAACTCCTAGCAGATCAGCAATCAGAAATAAAGTGTATATCCGTCCGGTGAAAATCATTATGAACAAACACAATTGTTCGACAGGAACAGTTATATCTTCCGAATAATCTACTCCCAGAAAATGACAGATAACAAGCAGACAACATTCCATGTATAAAGAAGAACTAGAAGAAGCGCGGTTTTCAACAATCTGTAATAATGATCCATCGGGAATATCATTTTCATGAATCCACAAAGGAATAGCATAAATCGAACATGTGAAAGTGTGAATCAACAAAACTAAAATAAAGGTGTGGTATGCGACAACACAGAACGATTTTTTGACGCTATAAAGCATTATAAGGCCTTTGAAAACATTCAAAAATGTTTTCAACCTAACAAGATAGGATGAGAGTGGTATAAAACAAAGAAAACTATAAGGACTCTCCCATGAAATGAATAAATCAGAATATGCATTGTTTATTATTAAGGAATGACATAATGCCATCATATCAAAAAAAAAGTATGTTGACAGATATTTTTTTACTATTTGTTTTTGATCAATAATAATAGTCTTCATATTACAATTAGCACAACCGGTGAAAAATGTGAGTACTATCAAGAATATATGTAAGATATCTATTGCGTAAGTTAGATATCTAATATGACTATTAAAAATGTCATTAGAAATTGAATGAAAGATTAGCACAGTGAAATACCTCCAAAACCAAACAATGAAAAAAATTACCTCCAAAACCATACCCATCTTACTAAAAGGGTGAATGATATAAAAATAAGAGCTTTTGATATGTCTTCTCATCTCAGTTCTCATCGGGGATTTCAAACCTCCAAAAAATTGGTTGCATTTTCTACTACGAAGATCTACGGTTATTATTTCTTGAAATTTTCTCCTGAATTTTTGACACAATGATGCGTTTGGATGCAGTGGCAGTAAGATATGCCTAGTTTTGTTACCTGCAAGTCTGCAAGTATGTTCCATTTCGTTTGGTCTTTATGTGATATCAATTTGCTTCAAATTTGAAATTCATGCCCTACTTTAATGATAAACATTTTCGACTAGCGGTCGATATCAGAGGGTTGATCTAAAAATGACAGCGGTTTGTGAAGCGGTTGTATTGGTACGATTGGCAATGTGTAAAGGTGCTTATCCATAATATATGATCTAATATCATATAACGTAACACTACCATATTCCGCTCGTTGCGACACAGTTCGCAAGTCTGAGATTTAACCGTATCAAGCAAAAATATGTTATACCTATATTTCCGTCTCAGCTATTTGCTATGCGTAAAGTAACGGTCATCTGATGTCTGAAACCCGATAAATTGTGGATTAGCTTGTAACTGTTTCACATAGGTATCAAATATAGCTCTGTATAATTATTGTGTGATAAAACTCCGTCTGCACTATCTGTACCTAATGCAGTGTTACCAATGTCAAATATAAAAATTATCCCACTAGTATCATGAAATTATCCGCAATTCTCCCCCTAGTAGAATGACATTATCCGCAAATATCCCCTTCAACTTTTCCCAAATAAAACGCGCCAATTTCGAAAATTGTGCCTATCTATAGGTTCTTTTGATTGTAGACAACATATTTTCCCGCCTTTCCGGTATTTATTTTACAGATCGACAGTTGACAGTTGGACTAGTTGGAGTGAGATGAGTTAGGTTAGATCACAAAACAGTCAAAACACAGAACATTTAGTAATTTTCACGGTGCTCCTCGGCGCGCTAGACAAATTTTAAAGAGCTCATGCGCGAATGTGAAGTTGCTCTGAATGCGTTCAGGATTAGTTCCGCGACTACGAAAATGTCCGAAAATTATCCGCAAAATTTCAGGATCCCCAAGTACTCGAAATTATCCGCAAATCGGACAATTATCCCCTCATTGGCAACACTGAACCTAATGTAATATTTTCTCGGTTAGGTTAGGTTATGTGTCAAATACTCAGAAACACGAGCACTTCAAATTGCTGTCTATGGCCATTAGTCTTGTGTTCTGGAGATACTTTGTTAATTACTTTCCCTCAGATATGTAACGTGACAGAATCCATCCACCTACAACTAGATTAGATATAACTAGAAATATGTCTGAGGCGTTATTTTCAAATCAGGTGAAAAATGGGATGTCTCTATTTAACTTTCTGAATAGAGAGAGACATCAGATTTCTCTCTCGATGTGAGAGTGAATCAGATTTAAAAATAAGGGCTCCGGTACATAATACCTTACTGAAGAGATACTCATCTGGCGGCATCTTGATGTTGAGGGGCCCAGTTTCTGTGACCTATATTCTGTGTTCGAGGTGTTTTATCTCATTTTTAGCGGTAAATTCAAATTATTTGAAACATATAATCAAGATTTATTTATTTATATAATCATAATATAAAGATAATAAAGATATCTTCATACTAAGCCATAATATACAAAATTTGACCAAACCATCTTAATTTTACCATGTTCAAATTCACTAAGCACTCGACGAAGTTTTGAGGTTGAAATCAATCACCTCGAGGTTTTTAAAAAGTACTGTTCCTGTTCCGTGGTGAGTATCCCTTTGAAGTCCCTTCTATAAGGTATTTTGTGCCCTTAGACAATGGGAGATTTAAGCAAGATTTGAGCCCACTTTCGTGAATTCACGGCTCTGACACAATAAAAATGTATTATTCTACTGTGGCTCTGATACTATAATTGTGTTACTGTTGACAGCTTTCATCTTATTGAATAGTTGATTTATTTAAAATATTCAAGAAAGACAGACCTACTTTAATTCCTCTTTTCAAGAAAATCATATATTGAAATAGAGTGAACATATTATTCAATAAGAGAGAAATGTCCTCACTCGTAGATTTTATTATTTACAAAGCATGGAAATCAAATTAATGGTTCATTTTGTGTCTTATATTCAAGAGAACAGTAGTAAAAATTACTTTCGAGTAAGGTTGAATTAAGCAAATTTTAACGTGTTTTCTTCAATAGAAGTGTTTGGAGTAATATCACTTGATTTTTAATCACCTTTGTCAATTTTCTAATTGGGAATTTTTTATGAGATTTTGTATTGAATCAGTTTTCCGAATTAACGATTAGAACGTTTTTCCACTACACTTTTAGTCGTAATAATTTTCCGTAATACAAGTTTTGAAAAAGTTTAAAGTTCTACAGATATTTTATCAGCAGGTACAATAAAGCAGACTTTCTTATAAAATACGATATTTTGTACATCCACAATTGAAAAAAAAATTGCAAACTCCATGGGTCCCACTGTAGAAAAATATTTTGATAAATTATTCAGAAATGATGAATTCAATCACTTTTCATTTGATGAAAACACGTTTTTGTTCGAATGGAGAGGTCAATATTTCTCAAGCTTTTCGCAGTTTTAAAATTTCTACAATCTGAATTAATGCAAGAGTAATAAAGGGCAAACTTAAAACTTGTATAATATAAACTTTGAAAAAAGTCCAATTTAGTTAGTAACTAACTTACCATTTATTCCAAATAAAATCATCGAAACAGAAAAATAGGTATACTGCGTCAACGCTATTTTCTGTGTTTTTTAGCCGTGTTCTGCAGGTTTTTATGCCTAACGTTTCGTCTACTACTGCGGTAAAAATTATCGAAGGAGATGAAGTACCGGTCGAAGTGCTGGAGCGACCATTACCTCATCGCCTTTGATAATGTCTACCGCAGAAGTAGACGAAACTTCAGGCATGAAAACCTGCAAACCACGGACAAAAAAATTCAGCATATACCTTATTAGTGACCACATTGCACTTTATGAACTATTTGAAAATAAAATATCTCATATTTTACGAATGGTATTTCAAATCGTTTTGAAACAGGTTGGTTCAAGAAACGACACATTTTTCAAGAATAAGTTCCATTATTTTTTTATTGATACATTTTGAATAATTCAAGATGCTAAGTAAATATTTGATGTTGCTTTCCTTGCAGATTTTTTTTTCTCAAGTAATACAAATTTTTTATTAAGGAAGCAATTATAAGAAGATATAGATTTTCGATTACGTTAAACAGTGTCTGAAGACTGTATCGAGGAAAGATACATACGTACTGGAAAATGAAGATTTCAAAATAAAATCTCGAAAAATTCATCTCTCCCAACTATCTACATCGTAGGTTCTGGTGAACGCCTGCGGGAAAACAATTATTTCCCCGGCTAATACCACGCTGAGGTATCTTGCATAAATGTCTGTCTGATATAATTCAATATCGTGGTATTAGCCAGGGAAGTAGTTGGTAGTTGTTTTCCGACAGGCATTTACCAGAACCTAGGATGTAGATAGTTGCGAGAGATGAATATTTGGAGGTTTTATTTCAAAATAACCATTTTGGATTACTTTAAAAATTGAAAACATTAAAAAATATTCTGGTCAGCCCTGTATTCAGGCGTTTATTATTAAATGATACCTTCGTGTTCCTTTATTATGCCACTGATCTATTTATATCCACTGTCTGCAACACTTCAATTATACTCACTCTTGACAAGAAAATCAATAAGTAATACCAGGAATACAATAATTGTAATTACAACTTTATACATTTTTGTGTTCTCAACTGATGATACAACGAAATATAATGATTTTTTATATACTCACCCTTCCTTTTGAAAGTAAATGATAGGAGCAACCCACATCCTAGTACCCTCATTTCTAAATGAATTCTTACATTCCTTCCAAGCATACTTATCAGAGATTCATGAAAGAATTACAAAATGTTGATAACTCAATCACGTAATTCAATTTGTCTTAAACATACACAGTGAGGGACTTAGGCCAACTAAATTCGGTGTTTTGAATTCTCAAAACACTAGGGCTCTCAAAAGCATACTTCTAAAAGTGCAATTTTTGCCAAAATTTCTACCTACCTTTGTTCATTCCCTTGAAAAGTAATATTTGGTTATGTTGACAAGTATTTCAATTGTATAAAGGTTTCCTCATTATTTTTTTTATCAATTCGTCTCATTCATGTAGTATTAAAACACCTAATGTATTTAGTATGTATCCTCAACTTTGGAGAAAAGCATTAATGAACAAGTTAAATGGGCTCAGATCTGGTGATCTAGGAGACATTTCTGCTGTTCTTTCCTTCCTATCCACTGATCTGTAGAGATTCTGTCTACAAACTGTTGCACAAATGTAAGCGAAATGTGGTGGTGTGCCATCTCATCAAAACTAGATTGAATATTTATTTGAAAATCAAATAAAATTTGAGTCAAATCTGGAATTGATATATTAAGTGAGAACCTCAGATACAGATACAATGCAATTATCAATTGTATTATTTATAAATGTGATAACTATGTTCCTGAGAACACACAACTAAGAAGTTCCGACAGTTGAGGGAATCGGCCGATACTTGATGAAATTCCATGTTATTTTAATAAGAAGATTCGAAAAGAGAAAATAAACTGAACTCAAAAATTGATAACAAAGTTTCTATTTTTATGGTGAATATTATATCTACTTTGCATATATAAAAAAATTCCAGTAATATGGTTTCAGGTTTTAAGGCCATAGTCTGTGATGTTTCGCTGGCACAAGTGTCTGGTAATTTGAGAGTTCTGTGTTATCACTGAGGTTATAGGTACCTCCAACGTTAGGAAGAAATGTCGACAGAGGATGGCCTAAAAAGCTGAAATACTCAGTAACAGTAGTTTCACCTTCGAATTTCATAAAGTAGTTTTAAGAAATGATGCTGAAATCATATGAAATAAAATGAGTCTGATCTTTCAAAAAGTACTGAGCAAAAGTAACTGCAGGCATAAATTGGTTTATTTTTCTCTTTATATAAAAAAAACAATTCTACTCAAACATAACCTCAGTTTATTTTCACTGTAAAAATATATATTCCCACTCTTCGTTCGTTTATTGATCCTTTTGAAACTCTTATCATGTTCAATAATTACTCCACTCCAGCTCCACTCGCTCCTAACAAATATCCGAACGTAGCTACAGAAAGACTCACACCAAAAATGTTGGGCTACAGTTGCCCGTGTCTCAAGATATTTATTAATTAGTGGATTAATTTCTATATGAAAATTAAAAGCTTGAAGTTGTTTTGGAAAATACCAATGCTGAAATGAAATGAAATACCTTTTTCAATTTTTCATATTTTACTTAAAAAGTAACACAATATGTGTATAAAATTTAATGTATTAGTTATCACAATAATTTTCATTAAAATACTTCCTATTCGTTCATCATAGCTGAATGAGCAGAAAGAAAATAAAAAATGTGATTGAAAATTATGGCATTAAATTAATTCAGTTCGGAAGTCATAATATGACATAATCTAGTCTCAATCATTAGGACTTGATGCAGTCGCCTGATCAACTGCGAGCATAAAACTTTGAAAAGTACGGCAGCACACAGTCCCTTATATCTCTATTCGGCTGATGTAAGTAATCACTAATATACACTGTGTTCACTAAGTAAATGCCTTGTCTAGCAAGTGGTATGTAGTCCGCAACATTCTCTACACTCTTCAGTTCCAAAAGGCAATGTGTAGCGTGAACTGTGTCATCAAATGGAGGTCTAGAAAAGAATAATGATACATAGATAGATCTTCATCAATTATAATAATTATAAAATTTTTGGAATAAATTTCATTTGAGAAGCGTTTCAGTACATGGTAGCTTCAACAGTTAGACCGGTACATTGATGAAGCTAACGTGTAATGAAACAAGTCTTAAATGAAACTTGTTGTGAAAATTCCATAATTATTATCATGGATAGTGTAATTGATTTTCATCAAGTAATGGGTCAGTGTTATCATAAGGTAGATAGATATGCATTAAGGTGAGTCTCCTAATTTACAGCAAAGTCAAGTGAATTCTGACTTTCTGGTTACCCCTGGATTACCGTTTCACCACTGTAGCTCCCGAGTGTAATGGTGCCTTTTGTCACATAAAATTCACAAGGCTGGCGTCTCAGATCCCCTTTGTACTGTCAAATATTAAGTTGGCGCAATCAAGAGAGTTACTACACTTGTTGGACTTTTTCAGTAATTTTCTTTCTGGAAGACGCCTCTAATTTTTCTAGGACGATCATCATGTTGCTTCTCTTGATAGTGGATTTTTCTCTCTTCTTCGTTTCTTCTCTAATTTCTTGTGGGCCTACTTGTTTAGGCAGCATCTACTGGTCCCTTTACTGTTTCTTTCCTGCTCTCCTAGTTCCACTTTTCTCTTGCTTTTTTGTTCTTCTATTTCTTTCTTTCTTTTGATTTCTTTTTGCCCTAGCTATTTCAGAACTTTCTTGTTCAGTTCTTTTCATTTATTGTTTTTGTAGTCGTTTGAATGCCTCTGATTAGTCTTTTCTTTCTTATTCGTGTTCCGTAACTCACTTTGTTATTTTCTGCAAATGATTTTTTGACTCAATCCATTTTTGTTTCTTTTTTCTCAAGTACCACTCATACCTCTATTGTCACCATTATTATGCCAATATGAAGACTTTATTTGATGACTGAAAAAAAAACAACTTGAAAACACTTTTACTTCACTCACTTATTTACTTTCATTTTCTTTCTTTTCATTTTACCGTGTTAGAAATCACACGTTAAAAGGTAAGACCTCGTTAATCCTTAGCTCGCACAAGTTTCGACTTCTGAGGGTTGTCGTTCGTAGGGGTGCGACAGCTGGTTAACGGAAAAACAGATTTATATTTTCATCTCACCCATCAACAATGTTGTACAAGAGAAGATCATAAAATATATTTCAACTCGAGTTGTCAACATTGTTGATAATCAAGAGTTGACAGTCTTTAATTGACTAATCAAAATCTCATGTATATTTGTCACAGCCAACTTTTCATTAAGAAGTCAAATTCTATATTTCCGAAGTGATATATTGAGTCTGTTAGATTTACTTATATAATATTCCTGTTGCTGTAAATTATTCTCTTATCTATTAGATCTATTCTGTTTCTGTTTTTTGCGTTAATCAGCTGTCGCGCACCTACGAACGACAACCCTCAGAAGTCGAAACTTGTGCGAGCTAAGTACCAACGAGGTGTTACCTTTCAACGTGTGATTCCTAACATAATGGACTCATTTAACAATTTTTTTATTTCATAATTTGAAGTTTATGTTTCAAATAGTACATCTGCAAAAAATCTGAATTTTCACTCTCTATCTTCCCCCTCAAATTAATTGTTGAATGTGGCGTTCACCGAAACGGGGCGTGGTGAAGCTTGATGTCACATCAGTCGACTCGGCGACAAGGGAGTCCTGGCGGATAGGCAAAATACAGCTGTGAAAACAAATTGTGTGTTGTTTACTGCAGTGTGTCAACTGCGTAAATATGAATAATGATTAAAAATAACGTTACAAGTATTGCATCGTTCCTAAATGCCAGAATTCTTCGGTAACTGCACCAGACAAAATTTTTATTTCACTGTTACGAAAGTTATGGCAGCGCGCTATGCGTAGGGCCGACTTTGTATCTGCCAAAGGGACGTATTTTTGTTGCGAAGATCATTTTAATGTTAGTATGAATGATAATGATTAATAAAAATAATTATTGTTTACTCTATCTATTTTACTCTATTTACGTCATAGAGAAAAATCCGAAATTATGTCTTGGAATCCCAAGGTACTCTTTATTTATTACAGAACTTTTGTCTCAAAAATGCCAGTTACCCAGAATTGATATATACATTACTTTGAAGAAAATTAAATTGAATTGACGAAAGCAGCGATTCATAATCTCCAACTACAGGCCCGGTTGCCACCGCTCGAAGCTCGTTTGCCTGGTGTGACGTCACGATGTTCCGCGGGCGATCTCACATTTTCAATTGCTCTTGCTCAGTTGTTAATTGAGATATAAACCGGAAAATTTTGTGGGATACTTGGGAGATGATTTACTTTCATAATATATAATTTTCAATAAAAAAATAAATTAGTCTAAATGAGCCCATTAATGTCCTCTTTGTGGTTCTACTTACTTCATCAATTCACTTTCTGAATATTACTTGGGTTTTATCCCAACACCAAACTGTTATTTTTTACAACTTGACACATGTTTCAATCACGAAGTGATCATCACATTTTCAGTACATCACTAAATATAATTAATTTCCTCTTTGTAGTTCTGCTTATTTTATCGAATCACTTTCTGAATATTACTGGAATTTTATTCCAACACCAAACTGTTATTTTCAACACCTCGACACATGTTTTAATCACCAAGTGATCATCTTCAAGAGAAAGTTTCAATCTTCATAACCTCGACACGTGTTGTTTTAATCACCAAGTGATCATCTTCAAGAGGAAGAATAAAACTTCCTCTTGAAGATGATTACTCGGTTATTAAAACACATGTTGAGGTGTTAAAAATAACGGTTTGGCATTAGGATAAAACTCCAGTAATATTCATTACTACACCAAAGGTTCCAAACAATGCATCATAAGAATTTACTTTCTGTAGAAAAAACGCAGAAGACTAAAATCAACTCACTTCACATCTATAACAACTCCACCCCCTGCTTCAATCACTCTCATTATGGGATTCCTTTTATTCGCTACCACAATAGCTCTCATATCATTAAAAGCTCCATAACCTCTTCGGGATATTTCTTTTCGCCACCAATGCATTCTTTGGATCCTCAGTTCGCTCTCCCTATCCTGGGGAGTACCGAATTTACCTTCTGCTTTAGGATTTCCAAACTCGAATTCTTCTTCCTGCAAAAAAGTATCTTTTAGAAAGCCCAGATATGAGCAACGTTGAATCCTAAAAAAAATGATAAAAAGCAAAATCTTGAATAACATAAATAATTGTCAGGTGTCATATTTTCACCAATGAATTATCAGAAGTAACTTACATCGAGAAAGTGACCCGCCTGGACACATTTCTCCAAATAGGAGGTGTGGACAACCCATTTTCCTGCTGCCATACAGGACAAGGACTTTTCATTTCGGGCAGGTTTTGGACATAGTAAGTGGGTGCAAGTCGGGTCATAGTTCGTTAGATTAGAAACCTGAGCACCCAAGTTCTCCAATTGTTTTACTATATTTGCTTTTACATCGTCAGCTACTCCGGAAATAGCAAATTTTCTTGTTTGTTTCCGAGGTTCCTGAAATATAAAATATAATTATAGTTTTTAGGTATCCAAGAATGAAATAAATTTCCTTGTCTGCAAAAAAATCCAAAATTGCATTATATATAGACTAAATATGAGTCTTATTTGCCAAAAGTCATATCTGCGAAAAGAAGATTAGTCCAGTGTATATACAAGAAATGATGCTAAAGAAAAATTCAGTAACTTTGAAATATCATTTATGTTTTATTATAACATTAGCTTTTCACTCGCCAAAGTAAGATTTGAATCAAAGAGAGCATCAAAATGGATAAGTCCTGAGGTTACAGCCTCAAAAGATATTTTAATGCTTGCATATAATATACAAAGGCAAAATCCTTCTGAACAACATACAAACATCTATAAAACTTGTAAACAACAATATCAAAAGTCACTATTGGAGGCTAAAAAAGCACATTACCACAGTATATTGAGTAAAACAGATAATTACAGCAAAACTGTGTGGCAAATCATTAACTCCGAAACAATCGCTTTTATGAATAAAAAAATGAACACAAATAAGTCGATGTTCTTTAGGGCTGTAACGACAGATGAGGTGAGAATGATCATAACTAAGTTAAAAAATAAAAAAACTGAAGATATAAATGGTGTGAATGTTTTAGTCATAAAGAGTGCCATTGAATGTATAACTCAACCGTTAACAGATATTATCAATACTTGTCTAAGTGAAGGCTACTTCCCCCAGCAATTAAAAATTGGTAGAATCCTGCCAATTTATAAAAAAGGCGTCACATCCGAACCAGAATTTTTCGACAGCTAGCAATACCGCCAACCTTTTCAAAGATTTTTGAACAAATAATTTACGAACAACTAGTAATAACAGAAGATATAAATAATCTTCTGAGTCTTCATCAATTTGGATTTCGGAAAGGAAAATCGACGTCTGATGCAATAAACTTTCTCACAAATAGTATAAAAGATGCCTTTGATAACCAAGAAAAATATGTGAGCGTTTTTACAGACCTTTCTCCAGCATTCGATTCTGTAAATCACTCGACGTTATTGGCCAAATTAGATTTCTACGGAGTGAGAGATGTCTGCCTGGACATGATGAAGTCACACCTTAACGAAAGATATCAAATTGTTGATCTAGGAAATACCAAAAGTGAAAAAAGAGAAGTGCCACAAGGGTCAATACTGGGGCCACTTCTGTTTCTAATCTATATCAACGATCTGCCTCACGTGATGAACTCGTTAGATATAAAAACTATATTGTATGCAGATGATGCAACCTTGAGCAAAAAAAATAGATAAAATAGAGGATCCTCATATGATCCATTCTGACATATAAGAGAAAGCTTGATCATGGTTCACACCAAATGACTTGATTCTCAATGAACAAAAAAACAAACTCTAACTTTTGAAACAATTTGCTAATCAAGATAACAAAAATTCTACCAAATTTTTGGGAGTACAAATAGATTCCAACCTGAAAAGGATAGACCATATAAATAGCATATGTAACAAACTTAGCAAGCAGTTTTTGCTATCAGAAGAATAAAAAAATAGTAAATCAAAGTGCGGCACTTGCAACATATCATTAACGTTTTCATTCAGTCCTTAGGTATGGTATAATCAATTGGGATAATGCAGCAAAGGTACATCTTAATAGAATATTTGTCATTCAAATATCTGCAGTAAGAAGCATAATCTCTGCCAATTATGATGAAAAGTGTCGACCAATATTTGCAAAACTCAAAATAATGACCCTATACTCAGTTATTGTCTAAGAAAATCTGCTTCTTGTTCAACAAAACTTTATGAATAAAGTTGCTTACAAGGATATACACCAACATGATACAAGACATAAATCAAACCTTGTTCCTACAGCTAATAGGTTGAAAAAAACAGATAATATAGGAATTAACCTATACAATGCCTTATCTGTCGAATTTCATAACTTGCCATTCAGAAGATTCAAAAACTGATTAAAGAAAATATAAACCAAACATCCTTTATATGAAATTGATCAATTTTTCGAAGTTATTCAAGATGACAGAAACACTTTTGTGGTCACCTCCCGAACTTTTACTCAACTTTGATTATATATGTTAGATATGTGATTTATAATTTGTAAAGCTCATGGCTTTACATTTTAGTCAATTTTTATACGATTGGAATTTTGTCTTGTTAACTTGTATTTTTTTGTAACTCTAATTTATCTACAAGCATTTTTTAGAAACTATATTGATTCAGACACAAACTGAAAGAAAGTCCTCCTGAAACAGCTACTTTCATATAAACATTGAATTACACGAAAGAAAAAAATTCTTTTGAAATAAATACTTCTATATGAACACTGAATTATACAGAAGATACTTTTCTTTACTCAGTTTGTATTTCAAACATTCGTTGTGGAATAAAATCAAATATCATTCACATGAGTTCTACTTTAATGAATGGTAACAAATTGCACTTACATGGAACACTGTCATCCTCACTGGTATACTGGAAGATTCCCTCATCTTTTTTTGTATCGAGATGGAGTAGTAGAAAGCCAAAAACTTTCTTTCTCGATAAGAATATTTTGTTTTTATTCACGAAAATAAATTGTCTAGGAATGATCAAGTGGAGAAACAAAACAGAAACATTACAGTTTTCAGTAGACACATTCAGATACATAACCGCACGGGGACACCGAAGAGCATCACTTTCAATGATTTTAGAGTGACCTGCAACACATCTGTAAAGTTTTTGGGTATATATATATATATATCGACGACACCTTAAGTTGGGTAAATCAAATAAACAATCTCTGCAGAAAACGTTCTTCAACCTCATATGCTATGAGAATTCTCAAAAAAAAAAACGTTGACAGTGATGTTCTGATGACTGTCTACTATGCTAATTTTTGCTCTGCAATAAGGTTTGGTATTATCGTTTAGGGCTCCAGTCATGAGCTGAACAGAGTATTTCTCTGCCAAAAAAGGGAATTCAGAATACTTTTTGGTATGAAGGTCAAAGACTCATGTAGAGGAATATTTAAAATTAACAAATTATTAACAGTACCGGCGATATACATTTTTGAGTCATTAAAATTTTTAGTAAATCAACCAATCAACCATAAAACATAAGTATGGAACAAGATTTAGGAATTATTTTTTATATCCGATACATAAAAAATCTCTATATGAAAGAAGTACTGTCTACAGTGCGATTAATTTTTTTAATTCTCTCCCACAGAATAACAGGATATAAGAGACATTGGGATTGCCAGCGGTTTTCTGAAGTCTGTGAAAGAATTTTTATGCAATATAGAGACTTATACTATAGATGAATATTTTTAACAGTTTATTTGAAATTTCATTATATCAACTCTATATTTATATGTGTATGTGACGTGTTTTATTCAAATTTTGTATGTTATTACTCTTTTGTAATTTTTTCACTGACGTATTTCTCGAACAAAGTATTTCTTTTAACTTTTATACAATATTTACATATACTGTGTAGAAATAAATGAATATCTATCTAAACAAGATTACACAATACAAATCATCACTGTATATTATAATATAAAATCTGCTATGGTGTTATTACATTTTATTACAAGGCACATCTTCAGTTTCTTTTTTTAATTTGAGAAAGTGAAACGAATTTTCAAATCATTAGACAGTTCATTGAACATGATCGAGCCAGTAGTATCGGTCAGAGAGAATACATTTCAAAATATCAAAGTTATCTTTGAACCTGGTATTCCTGGTATTCTTACTGCAATCGACAAAAAAGAAACGTTTTAAAAGAGGCATGTAGTGTGAACTTCAATATCTTAGTTTTACTAATACATTTGTTTGGACTATTTTCAAAATGTCTGATTAGTGAATACTCAGATCTCACTTACTTACTGTTAAAAGTTTATTCATAACTAATCATTATTGACTTCGCAGACTTTACAAATAACTCGAAATGAATAATTTATTTTCACTGCTTGGAGAATAGGTTACATGTTGTTCTGTCAATACTTCTTTAAAGTTATGATATATTTTTTTAATAGCATTTTACTAGATATGTCGATTTTGAGAGGATTTTATTTCATGACTTAGAATCTGAGTCAAATCTGAATATTTTGAATGCCATTTTATCAAGTTGAGATTTCCCAACGACAAAAAAGGAAATTTTTTCTATTAGTCTCACTCACCTCTTGTTCTGTAAAATCCCATCCAACAGTGCAGGGCTGTGAATCTTTGAATTCAATACTTCTGGCTGAAAAAAAAATGCAAACCTAAGGTTATCAGTGAACCACAAAAGAATGCTGGCAAAATATTTATATATCAGAAGCATTCAAATACTTACAAACAATTTTAGAATTTTTGATATTTGAACTTTTAACTTTTATTGAATATAAGAGACTCAATAAATAATCTAAGAACACATACCATAAAATATGTATATGTCCTCATAGTAAACCCCTAGTTGCTTTGGAAAAAGTGTTTAGAATTGAAAATTAAAATTTTTTGGTCACTTTTATTGTCTGAACACAGTTTCTCAGATGAAAGAAACAAAGCCTTTTTTTCAGGATTTTTGGAACTATCAATTTTTTTTTCGGTTGATTTCATACACATAAAGGAGTTTTTGAAGCATTATATATTGGGTGCATTTTCATTGATTTCAATGGAACCCATTAAATATTTATAATCTTTCTGCATAATCGATAGTTCAAAAAATGTTTGAAGAATAACTGAAAAACTAAGATTTTTCTTTAGATACCTTGAAAACTAGTGAAAATAAAAAAATTAACTACAATACGTTTTCTTAGGCCTGAATGAGTTTGTCTTTGTCAATAAGTTTTTTTTCTTAGACAATAAAGTACAGTGATTGATTGATTGATTGATTGATTGATTATTCAGTTTGTAGTTCAAACTTTCGTCATGGAATTGATTCAGATATCACTCGCAGGATTGCTACACATATCATATATCAAAGAGGTAAAACTTCACTTACATAGAGCACTCTCAATCCACTCATGTCAATGATCAGTATTGAATGACATCCATTAGCTTATTTGATTTACTCTCAGCCATAGGAATCTTGTTTAAATTGAAAAGGATATATTTTTAGGCGAGATTAATTTTCGGGAAAGAAATGTTTTGGCTTTCTAATTCTCCATCTTTATCCAAAAAAAAAATGTGAAGATCTTCCAAAGTAAGAAAGAAAGTAATTTACAAAGATGTGTAGATCATACAAAGAGTAACTAACTTTTATATGAACATTAAATTATACAAAAAACACTTTTTTTTAATCAGTGCGATCTACACATCTTTAGAAGTTTTCCACATTTTTTTTTTGTATAAAGATGGAGAAAGAAGTAGAAAGCCAAAATCAAAAATAAATGAAATTGACTCAAAATACTTCCTCAAGCTGGGCAGAGTGGTCACTGTATTCACATTACTGATGGATATCCAATCACAGTGCAAGAAACACATCTACATAAAGTCGAGTTGAGATTTCTAAAACCACCTGTTTCAAGAATTTTACAACTCTTCAACTTCTGCCTAGAGCACATAGCCTCCCTGGTGGAAATTATTCAATTATCTAAGTTATGAAACATTTATTTAATAAAAACAAATCTTACCAGGAACAGGAACTGTTGAGTGGAAAGTCCTACTTTGTCGTCTCCCACCTCCACTTGCACTTAACATCTCCTCCAACTGCTGAAGTCGACTGGCCAATTGGGGATTTTCGGGAGTTTTATCAACCCCTTGACTAGGGCACTGGAACAATAATCATTCACAAAAACGAAAGGAATGAATATTTAAAATTTAAAGCAGAAAAGAGTTATCACCTTTTGCGCAAGTTCCTCACTATCCATATTTTCTTCCAACTGTTGTTCGCCTTGGGAGTGATCGAAATCGAGGGATTGGCCACTTTTTTTCAATACTTTACTCCAGAGTTGCCGCTTTATTTCTGATAGAGGCTGAAAATAAAATAATGTTTTTCCGTTTGTAATAATAAACATTTTTGTGCACACGTGCACTGAAATATGCCACTTACAGTGCTGACGTTGCTCTTAGGAGATTCTTTATCGGGAAATTGCTGGAGCCAGTACTCACACTGTTTCCTCAGTCCTGGAGATGGATTAGGAGTCATACAAGCCCCCAAAGGAGTTTCAGGAGTTTTGATAGCCATCCAAGGTTGTGGTAAAGTGTATTCCTTTTTCTCCTTTGGAAGTGAAGAGTTTAAGTTACTTTCTCTGAAATGCTTCATTATTTTGTTAACTGGTGTTACTTGACTGAAGGGCTTTTCTGAAATTTTGCCAAAAATAAGTATGCGAAAATATTATTAGTTTATTACTTCACCTGCACTATCCAAAAATCTTTTGTAAGCCGGTGTCAAGTGATTTACAGGGGTTAAAACCCTTGAAATCCTACTACTAGGCCTACTGGTTGAAGGAGTGGTATTTTTCGCTACATCTTCCACACTTGTATGAAGCGTTTCGACTACTGGTGGGGATGAAGGTTTTCTTTCAGGAGCTATAATTGAATTTCATAATTTTTGTCAAGTCTAAAACATTTTTTGTAATATAATTCTACTTAGGGTAAAAAGGGTAAAATCACTATTATATGTTATGTCTATAAATAAATCATTTATTTACTACAAATGAAAAGATATTTTTTCTGCTAAAAAAAAATACCGAGTTTTGAATTTAGCCCTTCATAATATGCAAATATCCCCCTCAATGAAGCATATTCTTGAATGTACAATACTTTTCAAATAAAAGAGTTATTTGTTTAAAAACTAGGCAGGAAAGTACGAGATTTACTGCCCCGGGCTAGCAACAAAACCAGAGTTATGAAACTAGCTAAGGCAGTGTGAAACTTAATTTTTTCTCAGATTATTTATACACTGTGTTTAAAAATCAAAATAAAATTGAAAATAATTATACTAGGATTACAAAGAGCAAAATGGTTAGTGGAATCATTTTAACAAATTGTTCATACTTTACTATAAATATCCACAACAATCAATAATATAGAATTTGGCCTGATTGCATTTTTGTTATATTCTGTGTTTTGAATTGATTATTAATGTTAGAGTTAAAATAAAAATAAAATTCTGAATTTTGTCCCTCTTTTCAAAAATATCTACCTTTAATATTTTCCACTAAAATTTACCTACAGTTTGGATTTGCTTATTGAATTTCAAATTGTAAGTGACAAACACTAGTGACAATACAAACAATATTGATATTAAGATTTAAATAATTTAATGATCATTTTATATTTCATTCAATTCATAAGGAAAGTTCAGAAGTGAGAGTTATTGGAAGTGTGTTTCATTGTTTTTCTTTGACTTCTAGTGAAAACAAAACAAAATATCGTAAAAGCAACTTCAGAAAATGCATTCCAAACAGATAATGATATAATTGACTCTAAAGTATTCGGTAAACATTAGCCAGAAGAAACTAAAATATCGCATCATTCTTCATTATGAAAATGCCAGGACAAAAACATCGAAATGAAGAATCATCAACCATATTCTCCTGGTGCTTTCCCAAGTCACCATAAGAAGCCGTTGAAACCTTAAGATGAATATTATGAAAAAATGAACCTAAAAAGGTGACTCACACAGTACCCATTATGTAATATATAACTTCTTTGATTGACGACTTGTTTATTTTGTGGAAATTCATGTTCACTGTGGATACCCTACAAAAACACATTACATCATTTTCATTTTTGAAAATGGTGTAAGAGCCGAAACCGGTCAACAATAAAGAAATATAGTGGAAAATAGACAAAAGTGTGTTTTTGTAGTGTATCCTCAGTAATATATAACCCCGAAGAAATCTTAAACTAGTTCTCTGAATACCTCAAGTTGTGATCTAAAATAATGACATATGTTGACACTAACAAACACTGAACAAAAGTCATTTTTCGAGAACTATTTACAGCTGTAAAAAAAATCAGTTTTTCCTGAATTGTTACTGCGTAAATTCAAAGTATTCTTTACAAAGTAAAATGTATTAGTTATTAGTAACTTGTAGTATTTTATAATTTTGCTTTCAAAAAAAGAGATAAGTAATTGTACAGGTACATTTTGGAGACCAAAATCTGTCTACATCTAATGAATTGAAAAAAATCTAATTTGACTTGTTTTTTTCCTTCGATTCATTTCATTTTCAAACTTTTTCAATAGATATCAAACGAGTGAAAAATATTTTGAATTTATGCAGTAACTTATCAGAATTAACTGAAAATTTTGCTCTTTCAACACCTGTGAACAGTTCTTCATTACAGTTTTCATTTTCTTTCCGACTGTGGAAAGTGAAAATCCCCAGAAATGTCGATGAAAGAAACAGAAACATCTTTCAATATAAATTTTTAGAACTGGTATGAATAATTATTACATTGTTGCCAAGTCCAATTCTGATGAAGGTCACGTGACGTCACTATGATATTTTTTCTGATATGGAAAAATTACTGACAAAAAATGGTAAAAAAATAAAATGAGTTACACATAAGTTATGAGAATATTATTGCTTCAGATTTTTATCTAATTGATATAAAGCTAGAGAATCAACCTGAAGAAACATAATGGATTAGTTAATGAACATTTTGAGAAACAGTCCTCATAATTGCTTACCTTTTGATGTTCCCAATAAATAATCTGCCTCATAAACCAATCGTTCAGTTTTGGCGCAGTCAAGTAACCATTCTTTGCTAAGTACAGGCAATCCCCACTTCAATGCAGCTTCATATTTTTTGCCTGTTGCCTCAGCACTCACCAAATGTGTGGACGCCAAAACGCCTTTAGCTTCTGATCTAACTCGGGCGAATTGTTCTTGAGCAACTCCACCCAAAGCTTCAATAAGATTTTTCAAGAACACTCGTTCTGCGCCCGAATAGCTGCTGATCGTGATGACACAGTTTACAAGAGGATTCGTGTCTGGTACATCAAAAGGTCTGTGATAATACAAAATGTCAGGAAGGAGTGTCTCCTCTCGAATACATTCAGTGATGAACAGGTCGTTGACTATTTCAGTAGCATTGTGATGTATTTCCTCTTTGTTAAAAACTGGAACTACTATGAAGTCAGGAATGCCTTTGTAATTTTTTGGGACCAATTCGCCATAAAAGCCTGTTTACAAAAATAAAAAAGTATGTTTTGTTAAACAGAAATTAATGTTTCGTCATATATATTTGAACTTTGCTAAATTTCAATATTACTCAGTACTGAGGGTACTGATGATGAAAAAGCTTGACCCGTCTCAAAGTCTATTTATTAGAGAGAGACAAAAAGAGAAGCATTTATTGTCTGAATAAATATCTTATTGATAAAATAAACTTAAATTTAAGATCTTATTATTGTGATTAAAAGTCACAATCATTTGAAAAACATTTTTTGTGGAGGAGTTAATGCTAAAGTGTAATAAATGGCAAACTGAATAATTCACCTCGAAAAGTTACCGCGTAATATAAACCACTGAAGAGTCCGATTAGTTAGTTTATGTGATCTCTGTGAATGAAGTAATCTTCATTTTTTGTTTGGGTTCCATATTTTTTTTATTGCAATTGTATCTTTTTATTTCATTCATATGTGTATAATGCATAGGCTGGCTTTAAATACACCTCAACAAAACTTATTATACTTCTAATTCATAATCATCCCATAATGGAAACATTCAATATCGACTCAATATTTCAGGTACTCATAGATTGTGCAAATTATATTCAATTTAACAATTTTTCCAATAAGAATCATGAAATACAAATCAATTAACAAAATTTAGTTTATGAAAAATGAAAAAAAAAACACCTCAAAAGTGCTGCTTTGTTTCCTCCTGTTCATAAAAGAGGACATATGCTTCCCCACTTACAAGTGATTTCGGTAAAATTGGGGACACATGTGAATCATTGTAATCATGCCACCTGCCACTATAACGGTGTCTGCAATATGCTGTGTAATGCCCGTTGTAAGTAGTCCCACTGTAATTCGAAAGTGTATATGGATTATAACGACAATGAGCAAATTTGTCTGCTGCATAGTTGCTCATATCTAATCCTTCTAAAGAAAAGTCAATGGCAACATTCAATTTGCCTTTCCATTGGAGATAATCAATTAATTTCTAAAATACGGGGAAACTTATGGATTGATAGGGACTTTGTGCATTTTCTTCTTGCCTTGCACCTCAAACACGGTTTTTCATCTCCATTCAGAGTATCCTCTCTTGTGAAGAAATCCAAGCATTGTGACAAACTCAATTGGCCAGGTCTTTGTGATATGGAGAGAGACAAATCCCAGAAAGGATCAAAGGTTACTGATGAGTGTCCACAGTGTGTGCACTTCATAGTGGATTTTAATTGACCAACGAAATTGTCTACAATCTTAGAGTTGCCAGTCTCAGTCAGGACTCTTGCGCTTTTCCACTGTTGCTCAATTTTTCGTCAATCTCCGTTAAGATCGGTTTAGGTTTCTCAGTAATTCTATTGAGGTCCTCATGTAAACCTTCTAAAAGATATCGAAGGTAATCCTGGGCGTCTTTCCATGTGTTTCCAATATTTTTCAACCCATCAAACCCAAGAGTTCTGAATAAAGAATGTATCACTGATCTAATGTTGTAACTGTTGATACTATGTTCGCCACTGTTGTCTTCTTCATTGGATAAGTGGGATAAGGAATTCGAAGCTAAACTGCCTAAAACTGAATTGGATATGGCAGGCGTTTTGAATTTGAAAGAAGATAATTCGAGAACTTGTTCATATTTCTCTGTATCTTCTGATGAGAACTTATGGGGAGTAAATATGGGAGATTTTAAGAGGAAACAATATCTCATCGTGACTAGGGTATAAATATGATTTGGAAGCAACGGGATAAATAAAAATTATACTAATCATTCCCAAATATTTTCTGTGTCACTATTGCTCGATTATTTTCATTGCCTTAATATGTAATTATTTATTCCACCGCATATATTGTTTTGTTGAGCTTTCTTTAAATGGTTTATTATATGGTTGTGCCAACACAAATACCCATTAATATAAATCTCTAGCAATTTTGTATTATCAATTGGTTAAGGACTTTCGAAATTCAATTGTTTTGTACTGTATGAAATTATTTATATCAAAACATATCTGGAAAATTCTCCTCACTGACTAAGAGTTTTACTCTGGATTGTTAGATAGAATTTTGTATTACTAAGTCTGATCAATTTGAATTAATTGAGGAATTTTCAAATTCTTTTTTTTACCGAATAAAAATGTTTTATTACCACCACATCTGATCCATTGGGAATATCCAAATTCAGAAATAAGTTTTTCCAATTGATAGTCTTGTACCTTTTTTTATGCACACCTTCTGAATATGGTTTGCCTAGGCTTTTGATAAATCTAAAACTCTCAAAGTGCAATCCATTTTTCCTCCATTATTTGAGTAATATTAAACATAAATTGTTTTTGCAGAAAATATATAAGCCTTTGAAAATAGATGAATCATGAATCATTGTCAAATTATTTATTATTTCCACTTTTTATATATTCATTCATATTCTACTTTGGTAAAGAAAAAAGAAAAATTTAATCGCTAGGTTTTCCTAACAAATATTTTATACCCAAGTTTAGTACTACCAATAATTGAATTAAAATTAACTCTCACACATACTTCTGTTCATAACAATCTCAAAAACTTTCCAAACTTAAGGAAATCAAGGCTACATTATATCTTTGGAACAACAAAGCAACAAACCGCTTCCATCAAGTCATAATTTCAAGATTACGACTGGGCCACACTCGCCTTACGCGTGAACATCTATTGAGGAAAAAATCGCCACCAAAATGTTTTGCGTGTGAAGTGCTTGAGACTGTTAAGCATGTTCTGTTAGAGTGTCCGCTCTTCACAGTTGAGAGATTGAACAATAAAATTCCCTCCAAACTAAGTGAAATTTTCCAAAATACCAATACCAACAATATTGTTGAATTTCTCAAAGAATGTAACCTTTTATTTAAACTGTAATGTAAACAACTGCATATTTTAGATATATTTTTGCAAGAATAGCATCAAGTCCAAAACTTTTTTCTTTATTTCATATCCTCAGAAATATCATGATATTCGCATGTTTCAAAAACTGCGTCCGTTTTAATGTTGTGTGTTTTTGTACCTCGATGAATATTTATTCTACTGTATCGTGGTATATACTGATCGATAGAAAATGTTGTAGTCTATACATTGGTACCCGAAAAATGACCCAGGCAATTTGGCAATGATAGTGTTAATGAACACACTGTTCAACATTGGCTTGTGAAGATCTGAGTCTCGAAGATGAGCCCCGAAGTGTTCAACCAACAGTAATCCAGGACGCGGAATTGAGGATCCTGGTGGAGATTGATCTACTACAAACGGTGCGTTATATGGCGGAAGAACTGGGCGTCAGCTGCCATGCGGTTTTTGATGGTTTGAAACGTATTGAAAAGGTCAACAAGCTCGAAAAGTGGGTGGGTGCAAAACGATCCTTTCTTGGATAGGATCGTCAAAAGTGATGAATAGTGGATCCTCTACAACAACAGGAAATGTTCAGGACAGTGGCTGGACACAGATGAGCCACTCAGACACTTCCCAAAGGCAAAAATCCACCAGAAAAAGACCATGGTTACTGTACGGTGGTCAGTTGCTGATGTGATTCACTATAACTTTCTGCAACCAGGACAAATCATCACAGAAAGGTCCTATTATGAGGAAATCGACTAAATGTACCAAGAATTGCGTCAGCAGCAGTTGGCACTGGTCAACGGGATAGGTCCGATCCTGATTCACGGCAACGCCCGTCAGCACGTTTCACAAATCACCGTTCCAAAATTGAACGAATTGAGTGTCGAAGTTCCCCCAGACTTCTCGCCAACCAACTGCCATCTTTTCAAGCACTTCAATAACTTTCTCACCAGTAGAAGCTTCGCCAATCATGACCAGGAAAAAACCCGCCTTCGTCGACCTTATCAAATCCCAAGCTACCAATTTTTATTTTGACAGAATTAATTGACTTGTGTTACATAGGCAAAAGTACACTGATTCAATGGCGCTTATTTCGATTATATTGAATAAGTATTCACTGATATATTACAGTTTAAAGTAGACTCATAAAAACGGACAAACCTTTTGAAATAACCTAATACTATTGTAATAATTTACCCTCAATATTTGATTTCAGTTCAGCAAACTCTTCTTCCTCAAATCCAATGACAAGAAACTTGAAGTTTTCAAATATTTTACTAATCTCTGTTTCGAGATCTTGTGTAACAGACATTGTAGATTGTTGAGTTGATGTATCAGGAGGATTAAACTGAAGTGTTGATTTTGGCGGCTCTTGCACCTGCTTTGAAAAATTAGAGTTATCGACGTTACCCAACAATTTGACTAAAGTATCCTCTTCGGCTAAAAAAAGCAATTCAAATGTTGCGGAGTCAATCCAGAGAGAGATTACTCACAGTTAGTGTTGGTTTGTTTCATGTACTGTCGAACTATGTCATCTTCCATTTTATCCTCAGTATTATTGAAATTGCCGAGATTGTTTTTAACGTCTCTTTGAGTAACTGTCCTGTTAGTTCGAAGCATACTCAAACCCTGAAAAATATATAATTTCAATATAACGGCTGATTCAAATTTAGACGATTGGTAACTGCGTAATTATTGGAGATCATTCATTTATAAGAAACAAAATAAAAACAACTGGGTAATTGAATTTTTGTGTGAAATTTCTTTTTGAAAAGAAAATCCTGCGAGTAATTTTGTTTGTAAGTAGAAAATACTTCAATATTGTTAAGTTGAAAATGAAGGCGTTATGAGAGTTGTGAATCAAAACAATGCGTTTATAGTAAAACAATCAATCGCATTTCCTCTAAACATTTAGATAAATCACAGTAGATCTGCAAAAGGTTTATTTCGGCTCCCAGTTCGATCATGCGCAGTCATTAAATTTGTTTTGGTTCATTTAGGACAGTTGGCATCGTCCCCAAAGTATTTCATTTTTTCAGAACTTAGAACTATTCCAGAACAATAACAATAAGTTCAAACACTGGAATAGGAACTAGTCTGAACTTCCGATTTGCATGTGTACAATAATAATGAATGTGTATTCTGTTATATATAATAGAGACCAGATTTAGAGTCAGGAATTAGTCTACTTCATCTTCTGAAGAAGCCAAATTGGTTAGTTAGTTAGTTCTCATGTTTGGGAGAAGTGGTTGTTTTGGGGGTAGAATAGGACGTCTCAAAAGCAATCATGAATTGGTTTCAAATAATTTATACGTTGGCATCCTCTCACAATATAATTCTAAGAAGTCCTCAGGGAAATATCCAAGCTTTGAAGGATAATGAATTCATTTTTCAAATCTGTATGTTATTCAATATTTGTTTGCTTGTTAAGGTGTATTTGTTTTAAAACAAGAATGAATCCAATTACATTTAGATATCACGAAAATTTCAATACAAAGTACAATATACCTCACATTTTTTACTGCTACTTTCAATGTTCATATTATAATGTAGGTTTTAATTGATAGATTTTCACTGCTTACTCTCATGATCAAGCTGTTGAAGTACAAATGCTCACAACAAAGAAACACCTCCAACTACATGCAATTAACAACAAACCTAGTTTAGATAGTGTACTGAATCCATTCATAATTCTAGTTTCTGAGTGAACTTTTCGGTATGCTCTTCATTACACTTTAACATATTCTTTTAATTTGGTTTCGTCTTTCAGATTGTGGAACGTTAAAAAGATCTAGAAAATCAATGAGAAATATTGAATTGTCTACAAAAAAATATTTCAATATCTTTAGAAAGAGGTGGTGATAATGGCCTCTCAAAGGCACACTTTTTGAGATCTATCGATCTTATAAAGTTTGTCTTTTAAAAAAAATTGGTTATTCAAAAATAAAAATGTACTATAATTTTAAAAAATCATTATGTAAAGTTCACTTCAGTAATTTATCACGCCTAAAAAAGTCATTTTATAGCTTTTGCAAAAATATAAGAAGAAAGTATTGTATTACGTATAGCAAAAATACCAACATTTAGCAAAAATACCAAGTTGACTTTAAAATTTCAGTTTCATTATGATTATAAACATTACTGCTGAATTCAAAGTAATTACAAGTTGTACATATAATTTTTAAAAGTATATGAGAATTCATAAGAATTGTTAAACATATCCAAAATGCTGCTTAATAAGTGGTTGGAAAAAAGTTTATTAATCCAAAACCCTTTATTAAATTTTCATATTGAAAGAAAATGCAAGTTAATTTTTTTATGATTATTCTCGTTTATTAATTCGACTGTGTAGTTTCCAATGAATGATATCTTGTCTCAATTCTCTAGTACAAATGTTTGGATATACAAATTGAGAAAGGAAAAGTGATTTCACTTCAATCAACTACTTTAATATACATATTTACCTAAAGAGTTTTTAGTCATATTTGTTTAATCAAGTATTTTTTAGTTTTTTTTGGATTTTCTTTTCTCAAAATCAGGTTTTTTTGAAATAGCAATCTCTCCATGAAACATTTTATTCAAAAAACCAGTTTTCGATTTTAAATCATACCTTTTTGCTCAGTGGTGATCCCAAGTGACTGTTTTCAAAATCTGATCTATTGATAAGGTATTTGTCCTCATTCATTGGATGTGTCTGTTCAATACTATCAATTAGCCAACGAACTGAAACTAATATAGATGAAAGGCCTTTGCTTTGGATAACCTTGACCTCATGAAATGTTGGATCACCCACTATGACATGTGTCACTCTTTCTGAGAAACTGTCATATCTATTAGCTCCGCTTAAATTCAACACTTTATTCAATTTTTCAGTATGTTCGGTGCTGAAACCTGTGACATAAACCTACAATGGAGAAAAAACTGAGTAATTTAGTTAAATTATTCTATGATGTGATATTACAGTACATCCGTCCAAGTACTGTCCTGCATTTTTTGCCTTCTTGATGTCTAAGCTATCAACTAGTTCTTCAAAATCTTCTTTCACTGCAAAAGAAATCAAAGTAAACTATTCATGCAGTTGTTGCATTTGAAGTAATTTTAAGCTAAATCTTGGAAAATCTGCTACTCATTTAAAATTCAAATGTTATTTCAATTTTTATACTAAAATGCATCCATCGTACATGTTATATATGAAAATATCCAATATGTAAGTTCAGACATATTTTATTTATTTATTGATTAGATACGAAACTCCCAGGCAGAACATATGTTAGGAAGTTAGTATTTTAATTTAAATCAGCATTAATCGGTGCATAATATTCTTGGTAAACTTGTCTCTAGCTAGCACAAATAGTTTAGACGGTTTTCCCACACATGGGCATGCATCTAGTTGCCCATGAGAAAAAAATGTACTTTCCAAATCTACACCACAAATGGTGTAGTTTCAAAATTACGTCCATCGGATGCGGGATCGCAAATTTTAGTTGCCCCAAATGACTTCATTTGAGAGTAAGAATGAAATTCGCGTATCTTGCGCATAAGTAATTTCGAATCATCTGAATCGCCAACAAGAAGCGATAATAAAGGTTCCGGCGGAGTGGGTAGAGATGACAGCACAACTTTTCCTGATGCGCAGCACATGCTGGGTGTTTCATTCTGAAATTTCAATGATTGACCATATTGACATACTTCATTCATTGAATCGATAGCAATTTTTGAATCCGCAGAGTAATAATTAATGTCTGGTGCATATTCAAAAGCAAGGCGAACAAATGATACACGTGTTAATGAGCGGCCGGTACCCTGTCTCTGTCGTTCTTGTACTCGTGCTGTAGCTATATTTTGTTCACATGCTGCTCTTGTTCTCGCTATAGTCTGCCGTAGACGCTCGTTTGTGCTTTTAACATAACGCCATCTATTGGATACTTACTCAATCCAGTCAACTTGTACCGCCATCTATTAAATACTCACTCAATTCAGTAAAATTACACTGTCATCTGTTAGAATCTTATCGAACTAAAAGATAATTATGACTCTTTGTCAGATAATGAATAAATAATTTGCAATAAAATAATATTGTGATTATTAATTGAGATATAAACTATCCTACCTTTCAATGTACATAAAACTGCACAGAGTGCAAAATTTTATTGAAATCAGTTCAGTAGTTTAGGAGTCCATTGCGGACAAACAACATGACACTTAATTTATATATATACAGAGTGACCCATTTGAAAGCGGGCCACCTCTCTAAAACTGTTATTTATTATCCGATTCAGAAGTTTTTTTTTTCAATAGATAGAGCGTCAATAGTTCTATTAGAGTGCTGTGAAGTCGAAATATAAATAAAATTTTCAAGGCCTACTTCGAATTTTTTTCAAGGTCAAAAATCCAAAAAACATACTAGCGATTTTTTTATATGAAATTTGACGACGCCACTGGATTTGTGATGCTTTCAAATGGTTGTGACTGAAATTTCAAGATAAAATAATGTTTTTTAACAGAAATATGGCATAAGTAAAATATACCAATCACTGTCAAAATAATTCAAATAGTTGTATATTAAATAACAATTTTGTAAATAATATGGTTTGAAATACTTCTTCAGAACATAACAACTTTATGTGCGATATAGTTATCTTTATTAGCACACTGCAGTTTGTTGTCAAAGAATAGAAATACACATCTTTATATCATAATATAATTATCAATATTAAAACCATAAATGAACCACTACAAAAGAATGTATTAACATGACAATGCCCACACATTAAATTTTGGACTGTTCCACCAAATCTCCATTCAATTCGATACATTTATCATATCGTTTTCTAATGTTAACCAAAACATTCAATAATTGATTTGGGGTGATATCTCTGCAAGCCTGTCTTATTCTTTCACGCAGTTCCTCTTTGCTCGTTGGGCGAGTTTTGTATACTTTTTCCTTAACGGTGCCCCATAAAAAAAAATCAAGTGGAGTCAAGTCCGGGGATCTGGGGGGAAACTCAATCAGTGAACTATTTCGCCCTATCCACCGATTAGGAAAATTTTCTTCCAGCCAATCTCTAACAATCCTGCTNTTTTAGGAAAAAGAGTTATATGAAGTACTGGTGATATTTTGACCCCATCTATACATTCCCGAGAGGAAAAGAGGAAGTCCAGGGACACCCTGTATATATATAAATCAAAAGATCAAGAAAGATGATATAATATGTATTGAATTTGAAAAATTACCTTTTCTCTTAACACTTGGGACTTTATCATTTCCAGGTGAAAATGGTGAGGCAAGTGTTTCTTCTACCCAAGCTCTTTGGGACATATTCGGACCTCCAATGGCGCTCAAAACGGAGAACTCTGGATTGACAGGTTCATCAGATTTTGTGGGAGTTGATGTAACTTTCTGTATTTGATACTGGTTATGAGGAAGGGCGTAACCTTTTGCCACACTATCTGTTACCCAAGACAAATTCACACATTTTATATGGGGATATTGACGAGCTGCTTTATATTTTTCGCTGATTGTTAATCTGAAACAATATTAATGATAAATATCAAAACCATTGAATGAAAGATGATCGACTTTATCGAAACAAATAATACTTGTAAGAAAGATGAAAACACTTTTATTTAATTGTAATAAACTCAATTTGCATTGGAGCATGTAAATTAACAATTAGTGTTTAGAAAATGCTCACGTCTTCAGTAAAAATATTTAAATCATCCACAGACATTTTTTTCAAGGAGAAAAAAATTAGTTCCCTCAATACATATTGAATTACACAGAAGTAACCCCTTCTTTCTCAATTTGTAGTCCAAATATTTGCAGTGAATAATGAAACATAAACCACGGAAACGCTACACAAAAAATAATAAGTAAGATTTTTGGCATAACTACTCAAACGGTAGCCACTTGGTTATTGAGTTCCACTTATGAAACAAAAGCTATTGAAATATGAATTTGAACCCAACTCGAGTATTACAAGACATGCTTTGAACAAATGTGGCATGATAGGTGACATTCCCACATAAGATGTTCTGTCTTTGCAATATTCTATTAGGTAGTGCCTGTAGAGTTCTAGCTTTTCTAAAGCCTTGTCTTCCATTCGGTATTAATTCAAATTTGTTGCAAAAGCAATAACTTTGTTCAGAAAGTTGGCAAAAGGTGTAACCTTTGCTATTTTGAGACGAAATATTTTCTATTGTAAATATGGCAACATACTTACCCTTCACCACAGCATATCAAGATATCTGTATTTGTCAGATTCAGCTTTCCAGAGAATATTCCGCCGTTTTTCTTAATAAGCATCTCTATTTTTTGTCTCTCAGCAGCTTTTGTTAAACCAGTCGAACAAATTGTCAAATTTTGAAAAGGAAGACAAGTATGTTTCTTGAATTGGTCATCATCAGCATGAGCATTGACAGACTGACTGACTTTCCACACATCATCAATCCAAGAAGGACACATCAACTTGACACCAGCCTCAGCAGCTGCCTTAAAAATAAAATTATTGTCTTTTTCAAGTATTAAAAAAACAATTCATAAAAAAATTGTTTTCATTATATATGAGATTTGAAATTGGTATTGATGAAATGAGTTATAAATTCTTTTCAAAAAATTGTTCTATATCATATAAAAAAGTAAAAATGTCTTTTGATAAGGTTGCTCTTGGACCGAGCAAAATTACTTTAAAAAATGAAAAATACATATTACCTTTATCAATAATCATTAATTAATGTATATAAGGTAATAAGTTCTCTCATAAAAACTTTGAAAAGCAATAAAATGAAGGGTGTGAAAATGAAATGGGTCCAATTACCACCATAATTTTAAATATATTTTCTCTGATAGCATTATCAAGATTTGTTAACGCTCGTTCTTTGTGAGACGTAACAATTACTTCTCATGAAGAATGAGCAAGGACGTAACAGTTAGGTCTCACAAAGAATTAACATAAATAGCATAACAAAATCAACATTATCATCTTTTACAGATGATACTGTAATTTATTATTGTCCTACAGAATTGAAATAATATATATGTAAATCAAAATTCAATTCTGATATTTCCTCATAATATCGTGCTCCATCTATTATCTGTAGCATGTGTTTTGAAAAGTTAATTCAAGAAAGAAAAATGTTGCCTCAATTTTCACATATACGAAGCCAAAAAAAAACACTGGTTAAAATAAATTAAGGCATATGTGATATTAAATAGTATACTTTTCTATAATTGACCTGTTTTTCTTATTATCTCAGTTTACCACAATCATCTCAACATAAAACAAAAATTAGGTAAGCTTCAAACTTATAATCTCTCGTGGCTTCAAATGAATCAAAATTTCACAAGCACAAGCTCTTCAAATTGGTTGAGGCTGACCAAAGCAAATGCGGTAAAGAAAGACATACCTGGCTTCACTTTTTCAACTAAGATTGAATATTTTAGTAACGAAAAAATATCCATGAGCCACTTACTAAATATTTCTCAGACTTAGCACTTCCAGTAACCAAATGTGTATTTTTTGCTACCAAGGTATCCACATAGCATCCGCCCATTAACTCTACCTTTGTCTTTATTTCCATTTTGATATTCTTAGACAAATGGGAACTTGTAACTATACAATCATACATGGCCACATTGTAAATTGGCCAAGGAAAGTTGGGAATTGATTTACCTTCCATCAAGCATACACTCACTGCCCATGGCCCCAAAATTCTGCTACAAATAAGGTAGATCGGTCAAATGTGTTTATATATTTCACTCAGATACAAGCATTTAAAATATACTTACGCACACTTGGTAGTTTTTAGTTCTTCGAAACACTTTCCTACAAATTCATCAAAAACTACAAAATCCGTCTTATTCAATGTTGAAAAATCGAATTCAGATTCTTTCATCCAATCCACATTAGTTGAAATATTTTGTTTACAAGCCTAAAAGTAAAAAATGGGGATATGGGATCAAATTTGCAAATATTATTCTACCTCAAATGCCTGTTGCATTATTTCTGAAGCTTCACTTTCGTCAGTTAACTTTTCTTGCAATACAAATATGATTCTAATATTTTCCATTATAGTATTTTAAGCACCTCAAACATAAACTAAATTAAATATGATAAACAATTTTTTTTCACAACAAAAAATTAAAAACAAGACGAAATAAAAAAAACACTCTGTAAGTAATTGAAAGACTTGCAATCAAAATTTACATTCCATATCTTTTATGGTTAAAAAATAAATATCTAGAAGAAAACGGTATCACATCAAAAAATGTCAGTATGACTTTTGAAAAAATCAGTAATACCAATACCACAATCGTTCTACCAGAATACCTAACTGAACCAGCAATAAAACAGATGTAGTCCGCGAACTAGAGACATACAATATAGATAATATTGTGAATCAAACGATAAGTCCACCGATTTATTTGATGGATTCATGTCCATTCAACACGTTAGGGCGAGTTACATGGTACCGGCTATCAGGAAACGTGCTATATCTTCAGGAGCCCGAAAAGAATAAACAACCACTTCAATTTATTCTAGATACCAGGGAATAAACTTATATAACTGATAATTTCCAACTAGAGTGACCATGTTCCAATACAAGCACTTTCACACACCAGAACAGCAATACTCTTTCCGACGCGCGTTTCACCACCCGAGTTATTATTATTATCATCATTAGGATATAAATGTATACTGAAGTATGTGAAACGAGCTGTAAGAAGATTATTGCAGTTCTAGTATGTAGGAGCGCTGTTTATGTTGTATAATGACCGTTATGAATGAAAAAGGAGATCCCTGTGGTTTTCCCAAATCAGAGGCGTTTTCTGGCGCTCCGCTCATGTATTCAAAACGTATTCGTCTGTGATTCAAATACATTCATTCTGGCGTTGAAAAGATGACGTCACATCAACTATAATTTGAAACCTCAGAGTAACAAAAGACAGTTACTCTGAGTTTGAAACGTATTCATCATGATTCAAAACAAGCGACAAGCGTGAGGTTCGTTTTGAAACGGAATTTGTCATTACGTTACGTCATTACAGTTACGTCGTTATAGTTTATAAAGTGCTGAAAACTTTTCATCAAATACGTTGTATCGATGTACAAAATAATGCTGGGAAATTATTACTTGCACAAATCCGATTATAATTGAGTTAGAGAAAATTATAAAGTTTGTTTTTATTTTTGAATTTGACTTCTGACACAAATTGAATCATGCTTTTTGGGCGAATCTTATTATTAATGACGTAACTACGAATCGTTTTTGAATACACGGTTGAATACGATTAAACGCCAGAAACCACCTCAGACTATTCCTGTTCTAGTAGTTTCTTTGTTATCTATCCTTTAGTTTTGCAGCGTTGTCTTGTGAAAATAGTGGTCTTGAGTAGAATAATCTGAGCCACTGGGGATAATACCTAACAGATGTGGCTAATAATTTAAAGAAGAAGAGTTGGTAACAAATAACGGCGCCAATAATTTTTTAAACTTGATGTTGCAATTTTGAAACTACCTACATTGCATGTTTTATATTTTTAGTCCGTTGTAATATTTATAAATCTGAAATATTCAAAATTGAAATTCAATTTCCTGTTCAAATCGAAGGTGATAACCTGAGTGTTCCGTATTGTACCCCAGAATATTACCCTCATACATTATTGATCAGTCTGGTCCATTTGCGCAGCTTCTCCATATCCGCCGACATTGATACAGAAAATCTGTGAATTTGGAATACTCCAAAAAGAAATCTTTAAAATGAACTCAATATTATATAATACAACCTCATCATCTTTCAGTCGAAAAAATCAAAAATAGTGTACGTTTTTACATTCATCAGTTAATTCAGACCAATTGATTTTACAATTCTAGGTAGAATTTCACGAAAATTTATACCGGAAAAAATCAAGAATATCAAGATGATGCTGGGTCGTAAGCAAAGTCTAAAGGGAGAACCTGTTTTGGCAGACTATGGTCCCGATGAAGCTTTCAATGAAAGTGCTGATATAGAGTGGGTGAACAAGGTATTTTCAATTTGGTCACTATAGCCAGTTAATTTATCTGTTATTAAAATCCTAATTTTCGTTATTCATTCCACTGTATGTAAAAAATATGAATGATGGAAACTTTCGAAATAAGTAAAGAAACAAAATTTTGGATAGTGGCATTCAATCAAATTCATACATTACATAATGATATATTGAAATACCTGACATTTGGAAGACACAAATCATTTCTACAATTTTAGAATAGCCTAGGTCAAAGTAAAGTTGTAAAGGAAGTATTTTACCCATAGTGTGAAATATTAGGAAATTGTCCAAAAATTTTAATGAATGATTGTCTTTCAAATTATCTGAAATTAACTGATGAGGATAAGTTGAAAGCAAATGTTTTCAGTTGAAACCTTGTGTTTAGTTTGAGAATGAAAGCACTTTCATATAAGTAGAATTTGATATCAATACCTTACTCTATCTTGTTTTACATTGTGTAGTTTTTCACAAGAATAACACATGTTTAATTTTTGTATAAATCCTTTCCTGTGAATAAAGAAAGAACAGTAATTTCCATTAAACATTTCTACTGATTTATATTATTCATTGCCTTTTTTCAGAAACTGGTCATCCAAGTGAATTTTTATGACTTGATTGATAATTTGTATAAAATTAACAGACATTTCAACGGAATTCATTTTGTCATTTACACTGACATAACAATTTTTTATATTTCCATATTGCTGACTCTGAAAGAGATGGGTTAGAAGAGTGATGAGAACCTGTGCCCTATTGAGCCTTGCTTCTGTAAGCTGCAATACCCCAAAAACATTCGAGAAATTTCATTTTATGCAAACTACCACTTTTTCTGTGGATGCCGTTGTTACATTTCTTTTCACTTCTGAAATGATAGCCAAAATGCACATAAGAGGAATACTGAAGGTAAGGCAACAAAGTTTATTATCACCTTATATGAATATGACAATAATTTCTGATTTATTGGTATTTTTCAAGATGTTTTATACTTTGTCTCCAAGATAAGGAGGGAAAATTAAAAAACCGTGAAAATTTCAGAGTCAGGTAAATTAGGAAAAAGTTGACAGTTTTGGAGCTGATTTAAATGACGTTTTCAAATTTAGAAAATTCAAATTTTGTTTCTAGATATATTTGAAAAGATTCGAAATTTGCCAATTTTGTTCTAACGTTTAACTGACGTTATTTGAAAATATATTGAAAAACAAAAAGCACTTTTTCATTACCACTTTTCAAACTGTATAGATTTTTAATCCAACATTCTGTCTCTGGGAAACCATTATCAATTTAAATTTTTTATTACTACTCGAAAAAAGTAATACCCAATAAAAATTAGCCTGTTTAGTGACAATTTCACTGACTTGTTTCACTGTTTCACTTGTTCACTGAATTGTTTATTTGGTAAATTTTTAAACTTTATTCAAAAAAAGGTTCAAAAGGGTAACATTTTCCTAATTTGATTGACTTTGCTGGCCCTCCATTTCTTTGATACATTGTATATGCTTTCTAGGAAACTACAACTTCTAATAACAAAAAAAATGAGGTGAAGTATTTCTATAATTAAAAGATCATCATCTATAGATGAATTTTATAGGTTTTGTTTCTTATCAGATTGTAAATTCTTTCAGGTCTTAGTAATATTCAAGTGGTATTGCATGAGTCCCTTTTAGACACTATTCTATTGCATCAATGTTGTCTACAATCAAAGTCTATAAACAAATTTGTTCTCCTGGTTGTGGACATAACCCATGATTCATTTACATATGGTGAGATTGGCAAGAAATCAAAAAATAGTTTTCTCAGTACAGAATAGAATATAATTTACAGCAAAAAGTCTCAGTCACAAAAGTTTCTTGATGCTAAAAGAAGCATTGTTGATTTTTTCATTTCAAGTAGAATAAGAGTTTTAACTTTACTTGTGTACTGTCTGCATTTCAACTATTATTACATGATAAAACATTGTAATACAAACTATTGTATGTTTTGATAATAATAATAATGATCTTTATTGAAATAGGAAACCTAATATACATATCTATGAGTGTAATAATAACACTAGCACAATGAAATATAAAAAAAAGTATGTAAAAATGTTTAAATTAAAACAATTTGAGATTCAAACTAGCATGTAGCCAGACAATGAACATTACATATAAAGGTTTCAGTATCATATGTTGAATAACATTTAAATACATAATGAAATATAGGTACATATATACATTAAATTATTATTTAAACAGTGATATTTGGTTTCATTACAGAAAGTACCCTAGTGAACAATTAAAAACAATAGATGATAGCCAATAATGTCCCAAATGATTCCACTTAACTATACAATTTGTATTCTATTACTTTTTTCTTTCATTGCTCTTTCAAAATCATCCGAAATGGATTTTTTTTTCTTCCGGTAATTCATTAACTCGTGGAAGCCCTTGAAAAATAACGAATTCATGGTACTTCCGAATGCCGGTCTGTTTATATGTATATTATTGGAATTTCTTGTATTATAATTATGAATGTTTTTATTGAATTTGATGGAATCTTCAAAATATTCTGGTGCCATTCCATTTTCAATTTTGTATACTAGTCATTGTAAAATAGTAGAGTCTGTTCTCAACTGATAACCAATTCAAACAATCAAGCATACTTTTTATGGGAGTACGGTGATTTGTTTTCAAGATTACGCAATTATGCAATAAACTATGTTGATTTCATCCAGTGAGACTATATCATGGTCATATCAGTTCAAAAAACGCACAAAAAAATATATTCTTGAACACTGCTTTTACTCTACAGACGAGTTTCTCGTCACAACAAAGCAACTGAGTCATGCACTCAACACATCGCTTCTCTGAAATGTTCCATTCTGTTTGTAACAATTTCAAAATATCATATGTTTTATTGTTTAATTTCATTCATTGTATACTTTATATTGTATCTATTTATATATTGACATGCCATAAATGTATTTATATATGTAACGTGGTGAAAAATATATCATATCATATCATATCCTATTACTCATTTCAATGTAATAAGATAGCACATTCCTTATGATGATTTTGTATTTATAGGGAGATCGCCCATATCTGAAAGACCACTGGTGCCAGTTCGATGCCAGTATGGTGTTTTTCTTGTGGATATCGGTAATTCTGCAAGTTTTTGAAATGCTAGGCATCGTTCCAAGATACAGCTATCTATCTATCCTGAGAGCTCCTAGACCACTAATAATGATACGATTTTTAAGAGTATTTCTCAAGTTTTCAATGCCAAAATCTAGAATAAACCAAATATTCAAGTAAGTTAAGAGAATGCCAGTGATGAATGTTTGATTAACCAAGTAACTTTTCAGGCGATCCAGCCAACAAATATACAATGTGACGTTATTTTTCCTATTTTTCATGTCACTCTATGCATTACTGGGAGTTCAGTTTTTCGGAGAACTGAAAAACCATTGTGTAACTGAAGGTACTCCTTCACCTAGGTGAGAATATAAACTTTAATGATGCATCAGTAAACTACTCTTCAAAGTTTGTGTTACAAGTATACAACATCCTCCAAAATCTGATTTGATTTTTTCAGGCATGTTACAATCAACAGTCTTGCAATACCAGATACTTTCTGTTCTCTAGATCCATCCTCAGGTTATCAGTGTCCAAAAGGGATGAAATGTATGAAAATGGAAGGGGTGTCTAGATATATTATTGGATTCAATGGTTTTGATGAATTTGGTAACTGTCTTTAATTAAACATAAAAATTATATCAAGAAAAAATCTCAAACACACATGATTATGATATCAAAAAACTATTTGAGTAATTTCATAAGTAATATTATTTATTGTAGCTTCATAATTAACTTATGTTTTCAGGAAATAGAGAACTCGAACAAAAATTGAATCAGTCTGAGACAGAAAAAAATAAACTACTGTTTCTGTTCATATTTTATAAATAAATATTTCCATAAGGTATACTTAGTATTTCAAAGGTAATGGCCATAAACGTTTATATGTAGAAAAGCAGAGTGATATAGTGAAATACATGTGAGTTCCTTATAAAGAATATGAATATGAATATCTTCAAATATATTTTGGTTTTTATAGTTGAGGATAAAAGAGTTAATAAATACTTTTTATTCTCGAGCAGCAAAATTCACTGAAAATCATTTTATTGAAAGTCATGATATAAGGAAATAAGTTTTACACATGAACCGAGCAAAAACAGAAAAAGTGTCTCGATATGTCATGATAAACTATTACAATTTTGAAAATACAAGGTATTTAAAATATTCATGGTATCAGGTTGTTTCGAAAGTTTTTTCTGTTTTTATGAGTTTACTTTAGACTGTTACATCTCAGTGAATCTCAATTCAATCAAAATAAGCGCTGTTTGATTCAGTTAGCATGAAACTTTATGGTCTCGGGATTCGATGGTGAGAAAATTATCGAAGTATTTGAAAGGATGGTAGTCGGTTGGCGAAATTCTGGCGAGTATGGTATATGGGGTAAAACTTCGACGCTTAATTCGTTTGATTTTCGGACGATGATTTGTGAAACGTACAGACGTTGTTGCCGAGGAGCAAGATCGGACCTTTTCTGTTGACCAGTGCCGGCTGCTGCCGACGCAATTTTTTGTACATTTCGTCGATTTCTCACAATAGGACTCTGCTGTGACGGTTTGGTCTAGTTGCAGAAAGTTGTGAAAGTGAATCACACCAGCCGTAAACCATCAAAAACCGCATGAGAGCTGACGTCCAGTTCTTCCGCCATCTCACGCATTGTTTGTGATGGAACAGTCTCATCTTCGAGACTGAAATTTCTGGACTGAAGTTTCGAAAACCAACGTCATTGAAACTAACATTGCCAAATGCCTGCTTAATTTTTCAGACTGTTTCGAAAGTGGTTCGGTTCAATTCGTATTCATAGAGAAAAATTGACCAAAAATCGCTTAACGACATCATAGAAAATTAAAATATGAACAGCAACTATGTATAGAGTACAAATTCTCCATCGATCAGAATATACCACGACGGTATACAAAAACCCATGAATTCAAAACGGACAAAACTGAAACAACCTAATACTTATGAAAGGGAATATATGTTCAGTATTTTCAATTTTGACAATTTTTTCCTGTAAACCTGTATCAAAGATATTTTCCGGATTTGTTGGTCATAGTCTTTACACGGTTTTCTTACCTGACGTTTCGTCTACAACTGCGGTAGATTAATCAATAGTGAGGCAATGGACACAGTATTCTATTTGTGCTCACAGTACATACTGCAGGGTAGCTTTGTTTCCGGTTGACTTGATTAGCCCGATCCATGTTTTGTTGACTGTGACTAACCAGTCTTTATTTACGTTAATCCCTTCTTTCTTTTCATCAAAATTATTTGTGTCTTTGAATTACGTTTTATGAAAACTTGCAAGTAGCTTTGACCCACTCATCTCCAGTTAACCAATTAACTGGTTTAGATCCAATAATTTTTTCAAGAAGGGGTAGTTGGGTAACAGGATCAATTGAAAAAAACACAAAGACATGAAGCAAACGGATCGTTTGTTTCATATCTGATCTTTTTAAAATAGTTATGTTCGATGGAGAAACTCCTTTTTGAGCCCTGATGAATAGTTTAATTAAATTCAAATAATTGGTAAGAACACATTTTTTTTTTAAGAAAAATTGATTATGTTACCCAACTAACATTCTTTTATCTACAAACCTGTTCATATACTTTTGAGAGTCAAACAGAAATTGAATTCACCTCTGATAGACTCTATTTCTTGGAAAAAAATTATAATACAGTTGTTCAAAATTTTCTGAAAATATAACATTGGACCTACACAGTAAACTCAACATTTTATAGAAAAACATATTTGATTTTACCAAATTTGTCAAACTTTGTGAGGAACATAAAGTTCTCATTTTTCAGTAACCAGTTTCTTCACGGTATATCAAGCAGCCTCTCAAGAAGGATGGGTCTTCATAATGTACAGAGCAATTGACTCGCTTCCAGGCTGGCGAGCTGTCTTGTATTTTAGCACCATGATCTTTTTTTTAGCTTGGCTAGTGAAGAACGTCTTCATAGCTGTTATCACTGAAACATTTAATGAAATACGAGTTCAGTTTCAACAGATGTGGGGTATTAGAGGCCATATTCAAAACAGCTCAGCTTCTCAAGTATGTAGTTTTTATGTTTGAAAAAATGTCATCTTATTTTGATCAAGCAATTGACCAGTCAGTTGATGATTGACTTGAAATTTGATATATCAGCTGTATTTTATTTATCGAAATTTTCTTCTCGAGAAATTTTATATAAATTTCAACTCATGTGAGATTATATAAAAACAACAGTTGAATTAATAAGAGAAATCATCACGAAAATTGTGATTTCAGTGTCTTAATATCCAGATAAATAAGTACAATTTAGACATAAATAATGTACGCAGGTGGGTCAAGTTACAATTGTTGTACTCAAGGGTTTCTCATGGTATTGTTTCTTATTTATATTATTAGAAGAAACATAGATGCTTCATTATTTATCAGTCTTTCAATGCAAACTTTTGTTTGGGGAAGTCAAAATATGAAAAGATATTACATATTCTATTGAGGACATCAATTTTGGTGTGGACTTACAAATATTGAAAATGGAAAATAATAAATCTATCAGTAAAGCTAATAAACAGTTCAACAGCAGTAGATCAACTATTATTGCTATCACTTTTTTTACATGTTTAGAAGGATGAATTCTTTACTCACTTTGAATGTTCTTAAAATTGTTATCTTTTGCATTATCCAATGGGCCTATGAAAAAAATTATATAAAACACTTTTTTATTTTTCTAAAAAGAACAGATTCTAATAGATATGGCTTCATTAAGTGAACTCAATATACAATTGAATAAAAGCAATAAAACAAAACCAGTTTATATAATGAAATATTTATTACTTGATTGGAATAGAAATTAATGAAAATGGTATGTAGAAAATAATCGATTCAGTAAAAAAGTTCACTTTTCTATGTCAATTTTTTTTACTTCGTTTTAAAACAAAATATCTTTTTACATTTGCTTATTGATTATTGCATTGAATGATTCTGTTATAAAATATACTAATGAAAGATTGTCTGCATATCTTGCAGAATAATGTGATTAGGCGAGTTAGTTTGTAATTTCGGATTTAAATGTATTATTATTATATTTAAATATTAGAAAATGAATCTTAAGAAAACACTTTCTCGCACCAGATCAAAAATAGTATCATTCCTCGCGCGTTTTACCAACTAAGCTAGCATCAATAGGGAACAATAAAGTGTGTTCTTTAGATTAATTTCACGTCAGAGGTTCTAATTTTACCTATCATAATTTAAATGCAGTGAATAAATAAAGAGAATGATGTTCATTTCTTTTCAAATTTTAATTTTTTGCCTCATTTCAGTTTGTTACTATACAGGGTGTAACTAAATAAGTGTAAAACATTTAAGGAGGTGATTCCTCATCGAAAAAAAGATAGGATCTTTCATATAAAGAAATTTCATTGGAGCATCCCTTGTTAAGATACAGCCCCTTAAAGGGGATACATAAAATTTGTATAACAATTTTTTTCACAATCACTAAAAAAGTTACAATATTGAAATTGACCCGACATTTTGTACTACCAAAAAGACACTTAGCCAGAAATTTATTTGGTTTACCCCATGGTTGTAAGGGGTGGAAAACGCAACCCCTAAAATTTATTTCCGATGTAACTTTTTGTCTTATTATTTGTTTGCCATTTAAAAATTTATTTCCAATAGCCTATTTCATTCCAAACAAGAAATGTCTCTTGGGTTTTTTGCTCAAAATAAACCAGTTCGCAGCAAAAAATTATTTTACGAACAACTACAGAGATACATTGTCATAAATGTGAAAATACGAAACTAATTTATCTAGTAGGTCGCTATTAGCGATAGTGACAATTAAATTGGTATGACGCTGTCAGTTTGTGAATTTTCGAAAATGAATTAATACTAATTGTGTGTTGTTGTTCTGTTCTTAATTTGTTACTTTAATAATTCACTTGTTATTAAAATGGCATACACAAATGAGGAAATGGCTGATATGCATTACATTTACGGTCTGTCGCAGGGGAATGGGTTAGAAGCTTCTAGAAGATATGCTGAAATGTATCCTCAACGGCAGCATCCTTCATAGAATATTTTCTCGACTTCATCAACGATTACGAGAATATGGTTCATTCGACAAAAGAACGCAGGATTGTGGTCGCCATCGAGAAGTACGAACACCACAGCTTGAGGAAGCAGTACTTAATTTGATTGAAGAACAACCTACTACCAGTACTAGAAAGATTGCTTTCCAGCGAAATGTTGATCATATGATGGTATTTCGAATTTTAAAGGAACAACTCGTATATCCTTATCATCTGCAACGAGTACAGGCACTGTTACCGCGAGGCTTTCCGAACCGTCTTGAATTTTGCAATTGGATGCTGGAAATGATTAGAAGAAATTGTGACTTTCTGAAGACGATAGATTTCACAGACGAATGTAGTTTTTCTCGGGACAAGATCATTCATTTTCATAATTACCTTATATGGGCTGATGAAAACCCTCACGCTATTGTCGAAACTAACCATCAAGAACAGGTTTCTCTTAACGTGTGGCTCGGAGTTATTGGGGATGATTTATTGGGCCTCATTTTCTACCTCTTCGATATAATGGTGAGGCATACGTTCAATTTTTAAGAGAAGTGCATCCAGTACTGCTGGAGGAAGTTCCTTTGGGCGTCAGAAGAGATATGTTTTTTATGCATGATGGGGCTCCCGCCCATTTTAGTCAAGTAGAACGTCAGCAATCAACTGAAACATGCAAATCAGTGGATAGGTCGAGGAGGACCACAGAACTGGCCCGCTCGATGCCCGGATCTCAATTCTCTCGATTTCTCTATTTGGGGCCATTTAGAGCATTTGGTTGCGCACTTCTGTGCGATGTAGAGGACTTAAGAAACCGCATCATCGATGCGTGCAAGGTAATCAGAGAGACTCCAGGAATATTTGAGCGAATACGTGGCTCACTGCGCCAACGTCTAGACGCATGCGTAATGTCTGAAGGTAGACATATTGAACATATCTACATGTTATGTGTTTTGTTATTAATAAATTAGTTTTGCAGGTACTAACTACAAAATAACAATAAATCCAGTTCGCATTTATGACGATGTATCTCTGTAGTTGTTCGTAAAATAATTTTTTGCTGCGAACTGGTTTATTTTGGGTAAAAAACCCAAGAGAATTTTTTTGTTTAGAATGAAACAGGCTATCGGAAATAAATTTTTAAATGGTAAATAAACAATAAGACAAAAAGTTACACTGGAAATAAATTTTATGGGTTGCGTTTTCCACCCCTTACAACCATGTGGTAAACCAAATGAATTACTGGCTAAGTGTCTTTTTGGTAGTACAAGACATCAGGTTAATTTCAATATTGTAACTTTTTCAGTGCTTGTGAAAAAAATTGTTATACAAATTTTATGTACCCCCTTTAAGGGGCTGTATCTTAGCAAGGGATGCTCCAATGAAGTTTCTTTATATGAAAGATCCAATCTTTTTTTTGATGAGGAATCACCTCCTTAAATGTTTTACACTTATTCAGTTACACCCTCTGTATGATGTCGTTGAGCGATTTTTGGCCAATTTCTCTCTACGAATTCAAATTGAACTAGAGCGCTGCCGAAACAGCCCGAAAAATTAATAAGATATTTGACGATGATAGGTGTTAATGAATGCACTGTTCAACGTTGGTTTGCGAAATTCTTTTCCAGAGATTTTAGCCTCGAAAATGAGGCCTGAAGTGGTTGGCCTACAGTAATCCAACAAGAGGATTTGAGGACCCTGATTGAGACTGACCCATCACAAAAGGTGCGTGGGATGGCGAAAGAACTGAGCGTCAGCTCCCATGCGGTTTTTGATATTCAAAACATATTGGAAAGGTCAAAAAGTGGGTGCCCCACGATTTGAATGATCAACAGAAATTGTAATGTTTCAAGGTCTGTCCGTCTTTGCTTTTGGACAATCCAAACCATTGTTTCTTGGATGTGTGATGAAAAGAGGATCCTCTACAACAACAGGAGTTGTTCAGGATAGTGGAGGGACACCGATGAGACCATGGTAAATGTATGGTGGTCAGCTGCTGCTGTGATTCACTATAACTTTCTGCAACTGGGATAAACCATCACAGCAGTGCTATTGTGAGGAAATCGATTAAATGTACCGAAAATTGCGTCAGCAGCAGCCGGCACTTGTCAACAGAAGAGGTACAATTCTGCTCAAAAACACCCGCCCGCACGTTTCACAAATCACCTTTCGAAAATTAAATGAATTGGGCTTCGAAGTTCTGCCTCACCCACCATACTCTCTCTCTCGCCAACCAATTACCATCTTTTCATCTTCAATAACTTTCTCACTGGTAGAACCTTCGCCAATCAGGACCAAGCAAAAATGGCCTTCGCCGACTTCATCAAATCCTGAGCACATCATTTTTTATGCTGATGGAATTAATTGAATTCTGTTATGTTGGGAAAAAGTGCACTGATTCAAAAGACGCCTATTTCGATTGAATTGAATAAGTATCCACTGAGATATTACAGTTCAAAATAATCTCATAAAAACGTACATAACTTTCAAAACAACCTAATACAAAGAATCCATGTCTAAAAATCCTCTTGTTATAATATATAGAGTCTCAGTGTGTTCGCAATGCTCCGGCAGATATTGTTCGTCTTAATTTAAATGTATATTCGAAATACGCCTGTTTTTGTAGTTACTTTTCTAAATGACTTCTTTGATATATTGTCATTATGCACAACTGAAATTTTGGTAACATTTTCTGGAGTTCTTTTATACTTCCAGATTTTGATTGGTGATGACAGAGGCTGGAAACTTGTTACTGTTGATGAAAACAAGCATGGGGGTCTAGCTCCTGAATTCTGCCACACTATCCTGAGATCTCCTCATTTCAGACTGATTGTGATGTGCGTTATTTTGGCTAATGGTATAGTAGCAGCGACTATGCGATTTGAACATGATGGAAGACCCCGACATGTATTTTACGAAAATTATTACTATCTAGAACTTGGATTCACTGCACTCCTTAATTTGGAAACGATTTTCAAAATATGGTGTTTGAGTTGGCGTGGTTATTGGAAACATTCGATACATAAATTTGAGTTGCTGCTTGCAGTAGGTACTACCATCCACGTCATACCGGTTTTCTACATGACTGGCTTTACCTACTTCCAAGTTTTGAGGGTAGTAAGGTTGATCAAAGCATCCCCTCTACTTGAAGATTTTGTTTATAAAATATTTGGACCAGGCAAAAAATTGGGAAGTCTGATAATTTTTACTATGTGCTTGTTGATTATATCGTCGAGTATTTCCATGCAGTTGTTTTGCTTTTTGGATTTTGCAAAATTCGAAACTTTTGTAGAGGCATTTATGTCCATGTTCCAAATTTTAACGCAGGAAGCTTGGGTGGAGGTTATGGACGAAACTATGTTGAGAACACGGTCAATGTTGGCTCCCTTGGTTGCTGTTTATTTTATATTGTACCATTTGTTTGTCACATTGGTAAGTATGAGATCTAGGAGAGAGCTGATTGAATCTGTTTCAATTTGAAATGTTTTGTTTTCAGATTGTATTGAGTTTGTTCGTCGCAGTTATTTTGGACAATCTAGAACTGGATGAAGATATAAAAAAACTAAAGCAACTAAAATATAGAGAACAAAGTGCAGAGATAAAAGAAACCTTACCGTTCCGGCTTCGAATATTTGAAAAATTCCCTGACAGCCCTTTAATGGTAACTTTACACAAAGTACCATCGGATTTCAATCTCCCAAAAGTAGGTGCTGTTTCTTCTTTTTAAAAATTTGAATAAGTTACCAATAATCTTTCATTTCTTGAATTTCCAGGTGAGGGAAAGTTTCATGCGCCAATTTGTTAGTGAGACAGAAGATGATGACAATTCAGAGGGTGGAATCAAGAAGATTAGTGAAGAGGTCTTTGATTCTAAAATCATTTACAGAAAACAAAAGCCTCTCAAAATTTTGAACAATCTACCGAAAGTAAGAGTTGTAAATCTAAAACTGAAGAAAACTGCTGTGGCACATATTATTAAGTAAGTTTCCTCTGTCGAATGATTTGTCTCTAAATGAAATTGTAATTCTAACCTGAATCAACATGTATCATTTTTAAACAATACAACAGCATTCAGAGCATAACAAACAATGTTAGTGGAATTTTTATTATTTTCATGAATCATATTAATGAAATATTTTGCATTCAATTTTTTTTTTCAGTGACTCCAACAATCAAAGACTAATGCTTGGCGACTCATCGATAATTCCTGTTCCTGGGACTAAAGGAACCCTCAAACCTCAAGGAACGGTTAATAGTATGAAACAGTTACGTATTGACCATAAGAAGTGAGTTACACTAATTGGCAACTAAATTTCAATGCAAATTTTTTTTGGCATGCAAAATTTAGTTTATAAGCACACATGTATTAGTCAACTGGGCTGTCTCTCATCAGGAGTTGCGAGTGGAAAGAAGACTAGCTAGATTATTATAGGTGGCACATGGTAACAGTTTGAGAGAATTTATGATTTCATACAATGATATATATCAGAATCGTAATTGTTTTTATATTATTTGTTCATAAGTGTTATTATTTCCTGGAACAAGCGAATTGATTTGAATAATCATTTTTGTAATCTCTAGGAATATTTGCATGACTTAATTTTTCTGCCACTGTATACCTTGAATGGATAAGTAGTACTAAATTGATAGTATACATTTATGGGATTCATAAGATAGATTAGCAGAAACATAGTGACAAGTCAGTTATGACGATAACTATCAAATTCATAGAAAATACAATACAATGAGTACAATACAATATACAAGCCGTTATTTTTAGCCTATTCCACTATTTCTATTTTGGAATCAGTAAGAACTACTAGAATTGAACAACTAGAATAATTTCTGTGTCACTGTTTTTCGGGTTTGAAGGCTGCGAATTTTTGGAATCTCTTCGTGACGTTTCGCTGGCGTGAGTGGCTACCTTCTTCAGAGATTTATACATCCTGGTTTAACATCTGATGAGTCATCAGATATTAACTCGATGACTCATCCTATCCAAGACTAATTGGATATTAACTCAGGATGTATAAATCTCTGAAGAAGCTAGCCACTCGCGCCAGCGAAATATTCCCCAAAAACTAGAATTGTCGAATTTTTGGCTCAATCACCTCCACTCGAATGATATTAAAAAAGGGCAGAGGAACTTTCAATAATACTGTTTCATACTTGTTATAATCTGATATGAACCAATTTGTAGTCACTGTAAAAACAAATTCAGCTGTGTATTACAATACAATAGTGTATTCAAAAAATAAAGTCGATGATGAAAAGTGATGTTGCATTGCAAATTGGTTTATATCAGATTATAACAAATATGAAACCGTATTGAAAGTTTCTCTGTCATTTTTATATCATTCAAAATGGAGGCGATTCCCCTCCGATTATTCTAGTTCCCCAAAGTAGTAAACTTCTGTCCGATTTAACTGACCTTGTAGGTCTCAACATTTCTGAGATAGCAATTGTGGGATCAGCCAAAAAAAACGGCCTGTATATTTATTTCCTAAAGTGATCATTTCACAACGAAATACAAAAAACAAGTACTGCAAAACTTGAAACTACAAAAATCCCAACTTCTCAGAACCTCGCTTAGCAACAAAGACAGGAACAATGAGGAGCAAAGAGCTTATTGATGAAGTGGTATGTATATCTAATTTATATAATTAAAAGATCCAGGTGATGTTGAAAACAGAAGTACATTGCTTATTTGCTGCTTTCAGGTTTATTACTCGTGGTTTTTAGTCCTCACTTTTCATTTGCAACTGCAGGTAACATAATCAAAGGCGATGTGGCAGTGTGTTAAATGATTTACAAGGGTGGTCCCCAGAAGTACCCGGCTTGACCTAGAGATGGCGGTAGTTCTTTGAAAAATATCACTGTATCAGAAAGTACACAATCTATAAAGCATATGTTTCAAGTTTCAAGAAACTGTTATTCAGTATTTGTTTTGCAGCCATCAATAGCGAACATTTCGGCAGTAAAATATTGGGTAGCAAAGTTTAAACGAGGCTGTACAAACTGCCAAGACAAGCATCGCAGTGGTCGACCAAATGAGGTGAAGACTCCAGAAACGGTGAAGACAATCCACAAAGCGATCTACTGAAAGAGCGAGAGCTAGCAGACTTAGTAAGCATTTCAAAAAGTGCAGTACATTGTATATTATCTGAAAATTGGGACATGAGAAAGCTGTGTGCAAGGTGGGTGCCGCGTTTGCTCACACTCGAGCAAAAACAGTGTCGTGAAGATGTTTCAATTGAGTGCTTAGCGAAGTTTCACAGCAATAAAGCAGAATTATTGCGTCGTTTCATAACCATGGATGAGAAATGGGTCCATGACTTTACACCTGAGATAAAAGAACAATCAAAACAGTGGACTCAACAGAGAGAACCGGCTCCAAAAAAGGCGAATACCGTTTCATCTTCAAGCTAGGTCATGGCATCGGTTTTTTGGGATGCACATGGGATAATTTTCATTGACTATCTTAAAATAGGTAAAACTATTAACGGCCAGTATTATGCGAACTTATTGCAACGTTTGAGTGAAGAAATCAAGCAAAAATGGCAGCATTTGGCTTAGAAAACAGTGTTGTTTCATTAAGACAATCCACCAGCTTACAAATCCATTATCGCAATAACTGAAATTAACGATTTGAAATTTGAATTGCTACCTCATGCACCTTATTCGCCAGATTTAGCCTCCTCGGATCATTTTCTGTTCCCAAACTTGAAAAAATGGGTCATTGGTCAAAGATTTTCCAACGAATGAAGAAGTGACGGCAGTTAATGACTATTTTGAGGAGCAAGACAATTCTTATTATAGAAACGTATCGAACTTATTGAACGTCACTGGGAAAAGTGTATAGAACTGCAAGGAGATTAACTTGAAAAATAAATATATTGTTTTCCAAAATTTTGTGTTTTCTTTGTTGGGCCGATAGAAGAAGGTATTCATGACATTGCCTTTGACTGAACATAATTCTTGGGTGAAACAAGCAGATCTACTGATCCGCAGCTAAACAGGGAGGCCATAGAAATCGTCAGGAATAGAGCTTGAATATCGATGAAATGTGGATACCAGCATCCGGTTTTGAACCAAATATAAAACATTTTTTTCATTTCATGCATTCACTCACTTGAAGATTCATTTGATCACTCTTGCTGATATCAGTATTATAAACTTGTGATTATTCATTGTCAGGGAGAAATCACATTGATAAAATTATCGGTGATTATATTGCTTTAATACTGTTGCCATACCATGGAGAAATAATCAGCTTTTTCCTAATTTCTTGAGATTTTCATATTTGAATAATACTGTAGTTCTAACCCAACACCAAACTGTTGTTTTCAACATGTCGTCACGTTTTTCAATCTTAAAGTGATCATCTTCAAGAGGAAGATTATAACTGTTTAGTGTTGGGATAGAACTCCAGTAATATTCATTACTACACGAAAGGTTTCCAATAGTGCATCATAAGAATTTCAATATTTAGCAAATCAGTATCATTATAAACAGAAAAACTTAAATTTCATCAGAGTTCTATCAAATATTTTAATTCATCTTCTTCAGATTTGGTTCAAGATCAATTAGACGAAGTGTACGTAGTGGTTCTATTAAACTAAAACAAACCTACGAGCATCTGATGGAAAATGGAGACATTGGAGTCAACAGAGTAACTTCTAACAGAGCCAGGCCCCACGACTTGGATATCAAACTACTACAAGCTAAAAGACAGCAGGCAGAAATGAGGAGGCATGACAAATATTTACTGTTGTTATTTCTGAATCAGTTTTGACAATCATTTTCTAGGAATCAGCGTGAAGAAGATTTACGAGAAAACCATCCCTTTTTTGACACCCCCTTATTTGCAGTTCCAAGAGAAAGTAAATTTCGAAAATTCTGCCAATTGATTGTGTATGCAAGATATGATGCTAGGCTCAAAGATCCTCTTACTGGGAAGGAGAGAAAAGTTCAATATAAAACATTGCAGTAAGTTTATTGAGTCCCAAAAAAATGTTACTTTGAGTTCTCATTTCAGCAACTTTCTCGGCTTGGTGACTTACCTAGACTGGGTGATGATTACAATGACTACTTTATCGTGTCTTTCTATGATGTTTGAAACACCCTCCTATCGCGTGATGGAGAATGCCAGTTTACAAGTGGCAGAATATGGATTTGTTATATTTATGAGTATAGAACTGGCTTTGAAAATTCTAGCTGATGGTTTATTTTTTACTCCAAAGGCTTATGTAAAGGATGTGGCTGCGGTTTTAGACGTATTTATATACTTAGTAAGTCCCATCAGTATTTTTTTTCAGTTTGTTAGGAATTTCAATTAAATTTAAAAAATGTATGTGCATTTTTAAAAAATTATTGTTGTTTGACATTGAAATCGCCCGTCTGTTTACATTTTTGAAAAATATTCACACAAGTTGATTTTTATTATTGTCCGTGCAGTCTTTTGTGGAAATGAAAAATTATATTTGATTGAAAACACTTTTCAAACACCAAATGAAATTATTAATAACTTTGGTGTACATCAAGGCAGTGTTCTAGGAGCATTGCTGTTATTAATACATACTTAAATGCTACCAAGTGCAATTTCACAGTTTACTAAATTTATATGTGAATGCACATTTGTCGGCCACGACTGAAGTAGTCTGATTAACTATCGCTGAATGCTCATAGAGATTACATCAACAAAAAACTCCGAAAAACTTTTTTTTGTAGGATATCACCTTAGGTGACCTTATTTTCAAAATTAACAATATATAAAAACATTATTTATACTCATTTCAATTACTGTTTTAGTCTCAAATTTGGATGAAAACAATAAAGTTGCAAAAATTACAAAATCGAGAAATGAGAATAATTTTTATGTGATATAGATAACTCCTATTCAAATTATGTTGATTACACTGAATTAATACAGTGTAACTCGAAGATTATTTTATATGTCAATGATACTCGATTAAAAAATATGAGAAAGAATTCATTAACAAGTTACTATGATTCCTTTATTACTTTTAATAACCAAATTCATCAATACAATACAAGGATTAATGATGAATTTCATGTGTCTATAACCAAATCTGAAAATTCTGTAGTCTTTGTTTTTAGGGGACTAAATGATTTTTATAAACTTCCTCATACATTTAGTGATCTGTGATGTTGACAGGAATTTGTCTCGCTCGTCTACCGCCAAATTTTTGCTGGCTCGTTTAGCACACCGTCAATAGAATTTATAAAAATACTGGACATCTGTAACAATGAACGAGAACGACAATGTTTCCTACTTATTCACCAAACTCAAACAATTGTTCATGCAGTTGCAGTTTCGTAAGAATGTATGTGTACACTGGATACTCGTTAGGTCACAAACGAGGATTGTTCCGAATTCTTGTGGTTCTTGTTGAATACTCTTCATGAGCAAAAAAATTGCAGAATCAGTACTCCTAACCGCTCTGGATTGAATGATTCCATACAGTCTATCTCGTCTTGTGTTTGTAGATCTTTTGCCGGAAAAATCCTCACTTGTTTACTTTGTAGTAAATGTTCAAGAGGTAGCAAAAACGTATGTGATTTTCAGTAACTTCCAACTAATGTTTCCTACTATGACTGATAACCAGTCCGTGCAAAGCTTATTGTTAAATCATCTGAAAATGGAACTTCAAACGGGTGATGATTAACTGTATTGCCAAACTAACTGACTATTATCAGAAAACAAGTATAGCTGAGGCACCAGTCAATCTAATAATAACACTGATGATCTTCAAACATGACTCAACCTCTGCTGGAAGCACCAAACTCTTACGAAGGCTCGAAATAGATGAACACTTCAATCTAGCAGACAACTATTATAATCTTCATGCAGTCATTGCTCACTGTGGTTCTGGCATTGACTCTGGTCATTATTACGCCTTGGCCAAAGACGAAACTGACTGGTTTAAGTTTGACGATAGTCGTGTCACTAAGTGTTCTGGCGATGTCTTGAATTTATTGGAGCCTCTGGAGACACCCTACATTTTGTTTTATGAAAGAGAGGACATTGGACATCAGATGATGTGGTGCTGCAGGTTTTTCCGGGTTTTCCTGCACTTGAAACAGCAAATGCGCTTCTGGAATCAATGAAATCGTCCCGGAGCGCCAATTAATTTTTGTTGTCGTTTCATTATTTCATGATTTGTATTACTTTCTTCTTTAATATATTCCTAATTGAATGAATATTTTATATAATGTATGAATGTAAATTGAATTATCTATTATGTGATGTAAGCCAATATGCTAAATAAATAAAAATAAATTCATTTGGTGAAGTTTCAAATATCAATTGAAAAAAATTGTGATGTCACGAAACATTGAATTTTTTTCTGTTTTTTTTAACTTTTAGAATTCAAAATACTTTCAAAATCATACTCAAATATATCAATATTACTATCCATGATAATAATTACACAATTTTCACAAATACTTTAATTTATAGACGCGTTTCGCTAATACAGTAGCTTCCTCGGTAGAATTTACTTTCTACCAAGGAAGCTACTAGCTACCGAGGAAGTTAACGCGCCTAGAACTTCACTAATTCTACTTACAGGTTAGCCTAACATTCCTTTGGTGGATGCCAAGAAGTGTTCCCCCTAACTCAGGAGCACAGCTTTTGATGATTCTTCGATGCTTGAGACCCTTGAGAATATTCACCTTAGTTCCCCATATGAGTAAAGTTGTGTGCGAACTGTGCAGAGGTTTCAAAGAAATCCTTCTTGTATCTACATTGCTTATTCTGCTCATGATCATTTTCGCAACTTACGGAGTTCATATGTATGGAGGAAGGCTTGCAAGATGCAATGATCCGAATATAACCAGGAGGGAAGACTGTGTAGGTGTGTTCTTGAGAAGAGTTTTTGTGACAAAAATGAAGGTTCAACCTGGTGAAAACGAGACATATCCTACTATGCTTGTTCCTAGGGTGTGGTAAGATATCGAGATTTAATATGTGCCTAAAACCAAATATCGTAACTTTCAGGGCAAATCCAAGAAGATTCCATTTCGATAACATAGGTGACGCGTTATTGACTTTATTTGAGGTTCTTTCCTTCAAAGGTTGGTTAGACGTTAGAGATGTATTGATAAAATCCTTGGGCCCTGTAGGTTCCATGTAATAAATTCATATGCAGCAAATTGAATTTTGTTCTTATAGGATCAAGCCATTTACATCCACATCTATATATTTTTGGGCTGTATGATTGGTCTAACATTATTTGTTGGTGTTGTTATCGCAAATTATTCGGAAAACAAAGGAACAGCATTATTAACAGTAGACCAAAGAAGATGGTACATATTCTTGAAAAAATTAATTTTATTTGTAGTACTAGAACTTTATTGAACATGGCCAATCTCATATTTTATTAACAGTCTAAATTATGGTTACAGATATCTACTTCGTTATTGAACATTTCAGTCCTTTTTCAGGTGAAAGAAATAATGAGTCTTTTTGAAAAGTTATTACTGCTATACACATACAGATGCCGAACTGAGTCATGGCCAGTGAGAAGCCCCTACTTGAAGATACGTAGTAGATGTGTAGAAATCTGTTATCAGTCTGTTAGATTATCCAAGCCGTAAACAATATTTTCTTTGTCACACACAGACCCAAACTTTACGCAGATACCATTTCTCCCACAGGCCATGACTCAGTTCGGTAGCTGTACTGTTACCCTGTTACTATTACAAACAAAAATTGAGTTGTTATTGAATCAGAAAAGATATTTAAAATTGTTTTTTTTTCTCTATTTCTCATTTGTATATTGATTATTTTCTACATTTCACTATCTTAATGGTACTGCTAACCTTACAACAAAAATTTTATTTTATCAGTTGAAAAACTGCTCCAGTTGTGGTGTGTCAAAGTACTTTCATTAAGATTCATTTAAATAAGGACTATAATAATAATAACTTCAATAATCCCAAGAAACATACATGTAGATAAAAGGAATATAAGGTAACAACTATTATGAGACAATAACAAAAATAAAATTAATACTCAGTAAAACCAGGTGAAATCCATGAGTGTTTCATGTTTATTGAATTAATTATTTTCGACACTAGCCATGAAATGCTTTGTAACAGTTTTTTTTTTATTTAAAGTGGCCAAATGGATGAACATACTTAACTCTGTTTTGGTTGTTGATTCAAGAAATGACAAGTTGTAAATACATTTTTTCGTTTTATTTTGTAATATCTATTTCTAAGGGTTTCAAAGTCGATTTTGTGGCAGTATCCCAAAATTCCGTTGGTTGGTGATTTTCTATTCCTCAGATTCTGAATATGTAGGTATTAACCTTGACAAAGTTTGATTAATGTATAAAGATGAAAATTTTTTATTTTTTGCAAATTCATTCTACAATTATTGTGCAAGGGAGGAGTATTTTTCTCATAAGGCATTAATTAGTCTTTCATGTATTAATGTATAACTAGTTTTCTCGAAGTTCAAACTCAACTCACACCGGCAAAGGTTCCAATTTAACTCTAACAAGATAAAATTGAAAAAGTGTTGTTTTCTCCGTGGGTTACACGGTAGTAAATTAATTGTATAGTTGGAAATACAGTTGAAAGCGAAATCCAGAAATTGTAAAAAACCTGTTGGTTTTCATTTGAAATGATTTTGTTGATACGATGTATGTAAAAGATTTGCCATCTTCGAAAAAGCCCTGGTCCAAATTGAACTCAATTTCTGTTAAACTTTTAATAGAAGCTTTTATTGAATAATTCTACATGATGATGTGAAAGTTTAATATCTGTTTTATTAGGTGTGATCTTAAGAAGAGATTGAAGATCGCCCAACCTCTGCATTTACCTCCTAGACCAGACGGAAAGAAATTCAGAGCATTCATTTACGATATAACTCAAAATATTAAATTCAAAAGATGTGTTGCTCTCATGGTTCTGATCAACAGCGGGCTCCTAAGTGTTACAGTAAATATGTTGTGAAGTTTAGAAGTTTGGATCATATTGTATTCAATGAATTCATTTTAGTGGAATGAAAAAGATGCATATACAGATATTTTAGCAACAGTTGATATGATATGCACTCTAGCGTTCGTTGGAGAGGTAGTAATGAAAAATATAGCTTTCACGCCCAGAGGATACTTGCAATCAAGAAGAAACCGATATGACTTATTCGTAACTGTTATGGGAGTTCTATGGATGTTTTTCCATTGTATGTTCAAGGTAAACAATTTTGATTCAAAAAGTAATGTATATAGTGCAATTATGCACAACGTAAAGTATTAGCTGACAGTGTATGAAAAAAAATGAAGACAATTCACCTGATTTGCAAACAAAAGACCACATGCAAATATTTTCATGAATGAAAAATAACTACTTGATTATCGAATTTGAAAAATATTTTTCGAAGTTGATTCAAGATAAAAACGAACGAGATTCAAATATAAATCATATAAGTCGGCATATTCGCGAATGTGAATACTTGTGTGTTTTCAAAATCTTAAGACGTGACGCCGAAATTTCTTGGCAATTCTGGGCCAGATTCTGTCATTTCTTTTTAGTACTGTTGTGTTGGATAGTATTGTTGTTATTTTCATTTTTGAATGTGTTTTGATTGTAAGCTGTCGAATATTGAAAACAATCGCACTGCAATATTGTTTTTTCTCTCAGGAGATGCATTAAGGAACCATTATGTCTATGTAAAGAGTATTTACGACAGTGTCATTTAAATGTAATGAATAAAAATAAAATACCGCACGATGTGATTCTAAAGAGTTATCAACAGAAACCCCTTGGTTCATTTATGTAGAAAATGTCAGTGTAGGTAAATTTCATAATAATTCTGTAACAAGTTAATACGAATCTATCCTCAGAACAGATAATTTAGCATCAATCAATAATAATAATCATTATCCATGATAATTATAGAATTTATGATGCACTGTTTGGAACCTTTGGTGTAGTAATGAATATTACTGGAGTTTTTTCCCAACACCAAATCGTTATTTTTAACACCACGCACGTGTTTCTATCACCAAGTGATTATATTCAAAGAGGAAGTTTAATCTTCCGGTATTTTTATCAGACACACTTGAATTGGAAGTTGAAAACAATGAGAAGATTCCGTTGACATATATATATTATAATAAAAATCAAATCTCCAAATTTATTATGTAGCTCATAAAGACCCTCAAAGTTGAATAAATAATAATTTCTTAATTTTATGAATGAAGCACTTTTTTCCTAATTTAACCTACTTCGCCTTTCTCATGGTTTACGTTTTTCGTATGCTGGCCCTCCTTATCTTGGGCACGGAGTATATGGAACTCCTCAATATGAAGTTGTAATTTTGATAGCTATCATGCAAAAATATACTCTTCGTTATACATTATATAATGAACAATGTTTCTTTTTCAGAATGATTTAACCTATTTCGTTGGTTTCATGGTGATCATTCTTCGGTTTTTCACAATAACTGGAAAACATGCAACACTCAAAATGTTAATGCTAACTGTCGGAGTTTCTGTGTGTAAAAGTTTCTTCATCATTTTTGGTATGTTCTTACTAGTTTTCTTTTATGCTCTCGCCGGAACAATAATATTTGGCACTGTCAAATACGGAGAAGGTATTGGGAGGTAATCAAACATTTTCAGCATTGTAAAATTGTTAGACTTCACTAAAAATATTTTAGACGAGCAAACTTTGAGTCTCCAGTAACAGGAGTAGCCATGTTATTCAGGATAGTTACTGGTGAGGATTGGAATAAAATAATGCACGACTGTATGATACAACCTCCCTTTTGCACCCCTGCTGCAAACTATTGGCAGACTGATTGCGGAAATTTTTATGGATCACTGATATATTTCTGCACTTTTTACGTTATCATCACTTACATCGTATTGAATCTATTGGTGGGTAAGTAGGATCGTATAAAATGCTGGAGTATATTATAAAAAAATATGTGACATTTGGTACAACTATTCCGACAACCCATATTGAATATCAATTTCAGTAGTTCTTTTTCTGTGCAACAAAAAGTCTAGGGAACTCTTGGCACATCCCCAAGACATGATATTAAAGCTGATATGAGAATGAGCCATAGGACACTTAACAATCAAATATATAGAAGTAGTTGTTTCAAAAGAATTTTTTCTCTCATGTATTTCATTGTTTATATGAAAGTAGTTGTTTGGAGAGAGCTTTTTCTTCCAGTTTGTGTCTGAAAGTTACTTCTTTGCGTGATCTACATATCGTTGTGAAGAGTTCATTTCGAAATTAATGGCTTTCTTCCTTTCTTTTGAAGATTCCTACATTTTTTTGTATAATTATGGCAGAGTAGAAATAAACCATTCTTTTTCAAAAATCAGTCTCTCCTAAAAATATACCCCTTTCAACTTATCTCAATTGGTTTTTCAACTGTTTGATTGAATAATATACAGAATTAAGTTTGTTGCAGACTTTTTGAATATACCTACTCCAAGTTAGATTTTCGTCCAGCAATATTCCTAAAAAGAATTTCACATTTATAAATATTTTCTTTGAAATAGTGTTCGAATTACTCAGAATCATTTTCAAATGTTTTTTGCGTTTTTACTTCTCATCGATGGAGGGTGGAACATACTGACAGCTTTAGAACTCTATAGAGTCCTGCTAAATTCCATCGAATTTCTGCAGTGACTTTTCATGATGTCGTCAAAGCTTCTGATTACAAATCACAGAAACTCCGGAAACTGTACTATTACGATATCGAGGGGATTATTTTCAAGTGGTACAAATCATGTCACCTGATAACAGTCAAAAGAATAATTTAACATTATATGAAGTGAATGCTAGAGTTCGGACTTCCATTGTCTAAAAAGGTGTTGAACAGATTTGAAATCTAGAACAAATAAAATAAAAATGTATGAAATGTTAAAATTATTATTCTCTGAAAAGACAATTTTGTAGAAAAGTCACTGTTTTTTCATTGTATATCCTTCCACAATTTACCTTTTTTTTAGATGGTTGACGTTTCGGAAAATAATCCTTTTCTGTTTTCAAAACCCAAAAAAAATTACTTGTAAACAACGCCCCAAATGCAGCTATATTTCTTTTGAAAACACAAAAAATAATCGAACCAAAAGATTCCGTTGGAACAGAAATAATGTCAAAAAAAGTAACAAAAATAAATAGCAAAATACTCTAAGAATGCTAATTTGTAAAGAAAACATATTGTGACTCGAAATAAAAATGAATGGGTTAGACAATAAGTAAAATGTAACTTTTATGCAAATAATAAAAAATAGGAAAAATATTTCAAATCAAGTTACTTTATGATGTTTCAATTGTTAGTATTCACAACCGTGATAGATGTTTTTCTTGTGTCCGCCAATTGGGACTTTGAACGGTCTATTGGTTTCCCCAATATAGGATTTTCTGCTCCCGCATGATATCCGGTAAATGCAATTCTCGGAATCACAGTCCGCGATTGGTGGCTTGGTTTTTGTGAGGCTGCTACTGATGGTGTTCGCGGATCTGAAGCAGGTTCTAATGTTGCACTTAGACCCAATTATTCTGGTTATGACGAAGTCTCTCTTATTGTCTTCCAGTCAAAGTCTGTTCCACCAGCTTTTTGAAGTAACCATTCTGATGTGTCCTAATTATTTCTCGAGACTTTCCTTCGTGTTGCACGATCAACCAGTGTGTTGATGATTTCTTGATAGATTGGTGCTGGTTGGAATCTTAATTCAGACTCTGTGACATATAAGTAGGATTTCGGTATACAAATGTTTTGCACTTGTCGATTCTCGTCACCATTACATCTAAAAATGACAATTCATAGTGGACCTCTGTCTCCATAGTAAATGTTATAGAAGGTCTCAAGCAGTTGAGGTGTTGTAAAAAGGTGTCCAGTTCCAGTTCATCTTGCGAGAAGAATTTGTACCTCAGATTGAAATAGCAGTTCTGCTGAGATAAATCCATGGCAAACTACAAGAAACTAGCAAAGATGTTCTTATACAATTTCGTAAATATATTTATGAACCTATTTTTGAGTATAGATGGGCTCGTGTGTACGTATTAATTTGTCTACTGACTATTCACTTTTATTTTCATACAAAAAGTATGCTTTGACTTATTACAAATTTAAAATTGTACAAATTATTGATGTGAAATATTCTTGATGAAGTATAAATTACTGTAATTGCTGTATTTTACACAACTTTCAATGATCTAAATTTCTTTTTGATTTGGTCCCAAATATACCTCACAGAGTGAAGATGAAAGAGAATATTAAAATAATATATTAATTTTAGATGTTTTTGTTAGCAAAACTGCTGAATAGTTTCAATATTATATTAACTGCAGATATTCATCGAGGATAAAAATTACACGATTTTCTTACCATATTTATTTCAAGACGTGTTTCACTACATGGTAGTTTCATCAGTTGGACAGATATTCCATTGTGTAAATATTTTATATGAGCTTCTCATTTTAATTTTTGAACTATTATCAAGCCTAGAAATTTCATGTAGGTTCATGATTTACACATCCTCATTAGTAATGAATAATAAAGAAAACTTATCACTTTAAAGTGAGTTTGTGTCTTCTCCGTCAACCACTTCTAGTATCTATAACATTATATTCAATATTTCTTTTAATAATTTCTTTAAGACTTTGAACCGTATACGAGAGTAGTCCGTCAGAATTAAGTTTACTTGAACCATTCAGACCTATGTCAATCCCTTACCTTTTATTCTAATGATTTTAATCTTCTCAAGACTTTTTTATTAACTGCGTCAAAAGTTTAGTATAAATCATGTGACATGTTAGAACATTTTAGGGTATTGCCAAGATTTGATTGTATGCAATATTATTATTATTATTACTCGTTGGAAATATTTTCACATACCAGTCTGTGCTTCATTCCAAACATTAGTGAGAAGCAAAATGACATTCATGAAAAGCTTAATAATGTTAGAAGAAGCACAATTATTTGAATTACTTTTCAGCTATCATCATGGAAAACTTTTCTTTATTTTATTCCAACGAAGAAGATGCACTGCTATCATATGCAGACATAAGGAATTTTCAAAATACTTGGAACGTTGTAGATATACATCAGAGGGGGGTTATACCAGTACGAAGAGTGAGTAGTTTCAGGTATTGTTCAATCGACTTTAAAAATGTTATTTCAGGTCAAATTTATACTCAGGTTACTCAAGGGTCGTTTGGAAGTAGATCCTCAAAAAGACAGGCTCCTATTCAAACACATGTGTTATGAGCTGGAAAGACTTCACAATGGAGAAGATGTGACTTTTCACGATGTTATCAAGTATGGAATATTACTTAGGAATAATGAGGATATGTTGGCAGTTTCTTTTTGTTTTTAGTATGCTTTCCTATCGATCAGTTGACATTAGGAAAGCCCTTCAGTTAGAAGAATTATTGGCTCGGGAAGAATTTGAGTATATTATTGAAGAAGAAGTAGCAAAGCAAACCATAAGGACATGGCTGGAAGGTTGCCTCAAAAAGATCAGATCAGCAAATGTAAGTACTTCATTCATTCATAGAATGAATGAATTTTTTTGCCCAGATAGATTTAGGACCCAGTTACATGAACAGCTTATTTTAGTGAATAAGTTATATAAGGGTACAAACTCTGGGATGAAAATTTTATAATACATTGTGTATTTTTTTTATTTTAACTTAATTGTCTGTCAACATAATTGAAAGCCTCTGATAATAAATAATTTCTGGTTTAATCAGTCAAACTTGATAGGTAGATTTAAACAGGTAGAATTGGATACTCTACTGTTTTGTTCTGTTATCGGAAGAGTATTTTCATCAGATCAGTCAAAGTAGCGGGAAACACATTGTTAGAGTGAATATTTAAAGTGCCACTGAAGTAATTATCTGTTGGGTTAGTTTAATCAGTACTTCCAAGTAAATTTTTCTCTAAGATGAGACCCCTGTATTCATGATTTTACACATATTTCAAATGGTTGTTTTATTGGAGTGGCAGGTATTATCGTGTTGCAAATTTTTTGAAATATTGCATTGACTAGTAGTTGTCAAAATATTTTGAAATCACAGGATTATTGCTAATGTCCAATATTCACTCAAGTCTAGAACTAAAGTTCCTTTAGGAGAGGACCAAATAGAAAAATTCAAATAACAATATACTGACTTATCATTCAACTAGGTAAGGTAAAGAAAAAATGTTTCAATCAGGTTAGAAAGATAGAATTAAGAGCTCTGGGATAGGATGAATCCAAAAAACCTGTCTCTCACATACTAGAACTGTAACATTCTTCCCGACTTTTGTTTCACCAAATAGCATCGTAAGGGGATGGTCTAAACTAATTCCTGAATCATATTTATTTTTCAAGGTTTTCTTATAATGAATATCAATAGAGTTCATTAGAGCACCACTACCAGGAACAGTTATTCGTCAGGGAATACAAGAAATATTATGAAATATTATTTTATTTGGGAAGTGAAATGAAACTTTCAATTTACCATACTGAAAGTCAGTCATCTGCAAACTCACAAAAAACGTGAAACTATTTTTACTACCTTATTGAGTATACTCGTACTTGTGCAAATGTTATCGCCAGACATGTTGTTTTTAAACAGTCTAAACATGTGACATCTATTTTTGAAATGTCTTTTTCAACCTCATAAATAACCATTTCAGAAAACAAATTTGTAAAATAAGAATTTACAGAGCTGTAGTGAAGAAGTTACTGAGTGGAAACTCTATATCTATATCTGCACAAATGTATAAATAGAGAAATATTTGAACAAATATAACAATTGAAGTGAATTATTAGAATAATGAGTTTATGTGAGTAGTGTTTAAAATATATTAAGAGAAATCATTCCAAGAAGCACTACAATTATTTATAATAAATTTCAATTTCAAAATATGTTGTGCGTTTTGTTGGAAAGGCAAATAATGAAGTAGATATATTTTTTCAGAAACAACAAAATAGTTTGATAGCAGGCCTGCGAGCAACGAACGAGGCACTTTCAGCGCCTGACCCTGCAGAGGAGAACAAAAATGAAAGCCTCGATCAAGAGACTGAAGCAGAAGCGAATAAAGAAAATGAAGCTAAAAAACAGAAAACAACTAATCTGCCGAGATCCGACAGTGTGGGTAGTAGCTCCGGTAGAAAATTCCTAGCTCCAACATTGTCTGATCCAGCAGCGAGACCGGAAAAGGAGCGAATCGTGACAAAAAAGAAAAACGCTCGTCCTGTGGTCGTTAATAAAAATCTGACGCATCTGAATGACAGTGAAAGTAGGATTCCAAGAGAAGTGTTCAACAGCAAGACTACCGTTCCAAAAGCTAGTAATGCTTTACACGAAATCAGGGACTGGTGGAATGAGCAACTGGCATATATTTCATCCAGCGATGACGACTAAGTATCAATAATTTCCAGAGAGTTTCTGAGAGCCCAACTAGTTTCATAACAATATTCACGTTCTGAAGAGAAAATGTAGGAATGACAGAACTTACAGGATCAAATCCCTTCTTCTCATATTTTATAAGGATGTATTCTAGATCATAATTGTTTTGGGAGTTTTTCTGAAAGTTGTTAATGAAAGATTGTAAGTAAATGTTGAATAAAAGATCATTTTTAATGTAGCCCAGATTTTTTCCAATCTCAAAATTCACTACAATTTTTGTTGGGTAGTATGTATTTCTTTACCACTGAATGTCTTCTTCCTATTCTATTTTTTTAATGTATATTTGAGGTAAATAAATATTATTAACTTATTAAAATGATTATTACTGGATTACAGTTCTCCATCTTGAAATTATCCGAACTTTCATGAATTGCAATTTCATAACTGAAATATAAATGATACTTGCTGTTCAATTCAATCAATTTTATACTATTGAACGACTCAATAACAGTTAACTTCCAAAGTCATTCTTGCTTAGCTAACACAACTTGAATCCCAAAATAAAAGAAAATCCCAATTTTGCACCAGAGGTGTCCACCTAGGTTGCCTATATGTATCAGCCATCCTGTTTGAATTCTTTCTGGAGTAACATTGAGAATGTCTTAAATGAAGACCATATGATTGAGCCATAATCTAGTATTGAATGATTACCATAGAAGGCAAACTATCCTTGATGCTTGAACTTTGCCTTGTTATACAATGAGTGCAAAACATTTTGGAGCCTGTACCACAATATACTTCAAGTGGTCCAAATATTAAAGTCAAGTACAGTGAGAATCTTGAGACACCCTGTGAGATCGCTGATTTATATTTAATATAACAACTTCAATTTCAACTTGTTGTATTCGGTAATATAGTTTAAGAAACTTCTGAACCATGATATAGCTAAGTCAGAAAACAAACAAATAAGTTCAATTTATCATGATCTACTTTGTTAAAAGCTTTGAAAAAATCGGTACAAACCAAATACATCTGGCGTATAGCTTTCAAAACATCCACAATTTTTAGGTTGAAGATCAACAAACTGGTGATTCATTTATTTATTTGTACAGGAAATAAACCCTTTTTTACATAAACATTATACAATAGATACAAATTCAACCTAACCTAATAATTCAATATAAGTCAAGTAATTTCTACACTGGAAATGATTTCATATCCAAAACTATATTTTTTAAAATATCACGACACGTTTCACTATCACAGTAGCTTTTTCGTAGTGAATAATATACTGAAAATTAATTCTATGACTCTTAACTTTTTATACCTTACATAATCATCAGCGAGAACTACATACTCAGGTATATATTCAGTAATTTCATAAACTACACCTCACGATTTGATCTCCACAAACTTTATTTCAAAATATATATCACATGTTTCGGCACTTTATCAAGTGACTCACATGACTTGATAAAGCTACTGTTTTAGCGAAACATGTGATATAAATTTTTCAAATGAAGTTTGTGGAGATCGAATCGTGAGGTGTAGTTTATGAAAAAAATGTCTAAGAAGACTAGGATAACGCCAGTTTCTAAGAAAACCAAGTTCAGTAATGCTTATCTATTTAAATCCAGTTGTTCATTCAGTAAAATATAGATCACCATTAATGAACTTGTTTTCTTGGAAACTGATGTTATCCTAGTTTATTGATGTAGAGTTGATATAATATGGGCTAGGTAATCATAATTGAGGATGTACTTGAGGTATATAAAAGTTGATAAGATGCTTTAGGTAATTATGATTGAGTATGATTAAGTTTATTTACTACGAAAAAGATACTGTGATAGTGAAACATGTTGAGATATTTTCAAAAATTAATTTTGTACAGATCAAATCATTTCCGGTGTAGTTTGTGAAATTACTATGGATCTTCATCAAGTAACGGCCGAGTCAATCAGAAAAATAAGTCAATTATGTGCTAGGGGGAGAAAGTTAAAGAATATTTTCAATTGAGCAAAGCTAATTCCTGAGTCCACAGTTAAAAAAATCCGAGCCACATGAGTTGTGATATTGGGTTGAAATATCCATCACTAGTAGTATGATTCCATGTTGCTTCGACTGGAATTCTGAATAACAAAGTAGACAATAGAACAGTTTAGATAACCTACCAAGACTTTGTTTATGAATAACAGATCTTTTAAGGTCCTACGTTCCTATAGAGGAAACGAACTTGTATCCAATGAGTACTTGAAAATAGAAATATACAATATGCCAAAGTACACATACATTTTAAAAATACTCAGCAAAACTATCTAGTCCACTACACAAAGTTTATTAAGGATTCAATGAAAGTGAGATACACTATCATTTTTATTATGAACTAATTATAAAATGGATTATATGTGACCCAATGAGCTCTACCTTGGTCTTTCTCGGACTGGTGACTGGTGAAGAGAGATTTGTAAACACTGCTCGCCTGCTTATCTTTGGCTACACTATAATCAGATTTCATTTTTCTCAATTCCTCTGCTTTAGTTACTGTACCCACAGAAACAACATTACCGATTTTTGACAATGTAGAAGGTTCTGCAGAACTTTTGCATTTCTTTGAACTATCTTCAATTTTTATAAAGTTTGAATGTCGCTTCACTCCTTTAGACGTTGTAGGTTCTGAACTCATATCTTCATTAGTGTCTTCTACTTTGATCTTTTTTTCTTTGTTTTTTTTATTTTTTTGTCGCCTTATATTCATTCGGTTTTTCATCAACTCCAGATCTTCGTCAGTTCCATTAATAATGACTACATCATCATCTACAAATGGTTTCGTGCATTTGTGACAGTTATTGGTACCTATTTCTTTAAGAGCTCTTTCTGAAAATACACATCCGCATGACCAAACAGCTACAAATCTAAATTTTCCACTCATTTCAAGTCCGAGAACTGGACAAACATAAGGAGCTGCTCTGTGATCCAAAGAGCCATCTTTTTTTCCTTCATCTTTCATGAACTCAGGATTTTCAGTTAATTTTAAATCTTTAACGTCTTTCAAGGACTTGATATGTTTACAGGATTCTGGTAGAGAATTTCTGTCCAGTAAAGCTTCAATAAGAGACATTTTGCTGTAAAGTTTTCCCAAATGGCAAACCACAATAGGTTTTTGAAGAATTTCCTGACTAATTGTACAACATCTCCATCTAAAGGCCAATTCAGCATCTTTATCCTTGGCTTCTGGTTTCTTTTTCACTCTTACAAGTTCATCTCTTCTCGGAATGGTACCTCCATCACAGCCCATATTGTTGTGGAAACAATAAAAAGAGAGGCTCAAGTAATCAGGAATTGAAATGATTTCAAAATAATAGAAATACCGTAGTGTCAATCAGAAATGGGTCAATACTGCGGATGAACAATTACGAATACAAATACAACGATGACATATGACATCCGTATGAACAATAACAAATTATTGAGTTATATCACAGAATGTAGAATGTTGGTCCGATATTCTGTGGCTATTTATATGATAGATTGAGAATTGTAATCAGTGTTGCCAATTAATGATGGGCTAATTCGAAATAAAAATAACGGATAATTCGACAATAATAATTTTAGATGTCTAATCGATTATCAAGATAATTCTTCTTCTGATTATATGGTCGTTGCTTCATTATTCAGGCGCATTTGACCATAATTTGACATAATTGGCATCGCAGAACTTAACCTATAACATATAGCTTTTCTCAATTGCTTGTGTTAGAACCACAACTGTTCTACATATTGTAATTTTTAAGTCAACCACTGATAGTAGGTTCTTTTGTTGGCACTTATCCTATTCCAAATTGGGCCATTTTCGACAAAATTTATTCTCTGCTTGAAGTTATTTGATGGATCAGAGACAGTGAATAACTTTTGGCGGAAATGACCCAATCTGAAATGAGATTGATGTCAACAAAATACACCTAGTACGAAAGCCAATAAAAAACTGTCAGCACTAATTTATCTCAAAAATTATTGAAATGACACGTCATTCCAAAATTCAAACATAAATCTTAATGAACAATGAATTCAAAAACTCAAATAAGTGAATTCTCAATGTACAAAAATGAAATAAAACATTGTTTTTAGTTTACAGTAAAAATCATAGTTTAACGAATGATAATTCAATTATTCAAACAATTCGATTACCAATGATTCGATAATCAAAATAATTCGATTATGCCCATCACTATTGCCGATGATGAATTGTCAAATTATCCACAAGTGCCTTTTTTGGATATCTAGCGTTTTTGTAAGATAGCGGCACGCGTAAATGAACTCGAGTAAGCCATATTGGTCTACAGATTTGCACGAAAATTCTACACTAGAGAGTCGGTACACCACTGTATATACATCTCTGTTTATACAAACGAAACGTAATATATTGGAAGTTATTGAAAGTGGTAAAGCATTTGAGTTAATGGGGATTGTCAGTCATATGCATATTACGAGCAATGAGAAAGCGAATGACCTTGCAGCACAGAAAAGAAATAATCGACCCATTTGTCTACATCAAGCGCGTTATAGTGAATTATATCCTTGCCTCAAGCAGAAGTACTGAAAGAGATGAACTGCCGATTACAAGAGAATATGACTTTACAAAGGAACTGTTTAAAATCTGTTTTTCCGTTAACCAGCTGTCGTACCCCGATGAACGACAACCCTCTGAAGTCGTACGACTTGTATGAGCTGAGGATTAACGAGGTCTTACCTTTTAACGTGTGATTCTTAACACGGATTGGACGATAGCAAGTGAAAATCGATCATTCAAACTAGGGCTTGAACTACCGACCAACACGACAGTCAATTCGAGTGAGTGAACAAAGCACTCACGTCGAACCGCCTGGCTACCGACTGGCATATATTCTTTGACTGCGCACTTAATGAAGAAGATATTCATATTTTGCATAACATCCTCTACATCCCGCATCCCAAAGGGTCACTTTCAACAGATTTCCATTCTTCAAGCCCACAAGAACCTTAATACAAGCAGTGAACCTTTTGGCAGGCTAGCTTCATTAGCTTAGGACTCTACATGAGAAGTAGATGAAAGGGTTGTACTTATTTTGTTGTTCTGTAATCTGCACATATACATGATAATATGGACTGAAAGTGACGTCACTTCATATATTCCTACTGTGGATCACACGTCTGGCCACTGAGTCACAGTATTATGTGACGAATCAAATCCCAAAATATTCATATGCAAGAGGTTGCCCAGGAAGAAAAATATCTAAGGGCTTTGTTCCATCTAATTACAATAGATCGAAATACTGACCCTTGTAATATGGCTGTAAGGCTGAAAGAACACAACAATAACGTTAAGCGAAAAAAGATGAGTTACTTTTCCACTGAAATTAACAATGCCAGTAACGAAACTAAAGTAACGTGCAATATAGACAACGAGTTGAGAAAGAAAAAAAGTATTATACTGATAATGTTATCACTCTCCATCATGACTCAGTTCTGGTTGCACACCCTCCCGCTATAGCAGACCTATTTGTCCACACCATCTTGCAAATTCATCCTAAACTGCTATTTCTATTTAGATAACCTGTCAATACCAGTTGTAACACAATTATATGACCTCACTGTAATTTTCTTAATTATAGTATCTTTATACTATGCATTAATTTATCTAATAAATAATTTTTGCATGAATTATATCGCCCGTTCCCATGTGAACCGCTGACCATGCTGAAGCAGAATCTCGCGATTCTGGGAAACTGATGTGCAAGCATTCTTATCTTCATGGGAAGAATACTTTTGTAATTCAGTTATAATTTTGCTCTCATACTGTTAACATCAATTTCTGTTAATAAAATTAATTTTTAAAAAAGGACTTTGACATCCGAAAGTTATATTTCATGTCAAGGTAGGATAAAGAAAATAACTTTGTCTAATTTCTACTAAGTTTATTATTTGTTACGACCGGTTTCGGTTTATTAGATCATTCTCATGGCCGACCCATATTTATTATTACGTCAGGAACTTCCTCTCCGATTGCGACAGAGAATTGAGAGGACAGGCGGCCCCCCTACGCCAGTAACCAGGCTGGATGTCGACGAGCTCGTCAGTTTGATTATAGATGTGTTATTCTATCCGACGGCCTCCCGAGAATAGAAGTGTTTCTTTGAGAGAAAAAGTGAGTGAAAAAACTCAGGGTGGTAGCATTGCCTCATACAAGACAACTGCACCCCCGGACGAAGCTTCTGTTCAATATAGACAGAAGGAGTCTGGCCAAATGCGAATGAGAAGCTGCGGCCATTGAAATTAGGAGAGAGAGTGAGAGATTATTACGTCACTGGGTCTGCGACAGCATTGTTTTGTTTTGTGATTTGTTTTGTTTCCGTTTAGTGAGTTTGCGATTGTGTGTGTACTTTGGATATTTTTGCTGTTTCCTATGTTTGATTTATTTTTAAATTTGTTTTGTTAATGACGCCGGCTGTTCAAATGTGAGAAATTTATTAAGAATAATTTAATTTTGAAGGTTTGTTTTGTTTTTATTCAAATTTTCAGTAAGTTGAATATGGTTCTGATTATTGGATACCATCTTATCTTATCGAATAGCAATAATGTTATCAAACGGTCAATAGGTATTCGCTTTCATTACAGGGAACTTTGATGATTCATTGTTGCACTTAGCCATTTAAGAATTATTAAGTTACCACGTGAGATAAATATCAAACTAATTATTTTCAGATATAACACTGTTTCATAAAACTATCACTGCAGAAAATGACTGACGTACATGCACGGGTAAGTCCCCGAATTTGGTTAATTATACTTGTATATTTAATAAGTGATTCTGTCTTTTCAGCATTGCCAAGTCTGCAATTTGGACCATGATGATGATCCTTTGCATAACAATTCTCTTTTACACAGATTCAATTTCTTGCTTTTCGAGTGGTCAAAATACAGGTGAATACAATGTTTATTTAAATATATTTACTAAAAAATGAGTACAAGTTCCAAGTCATAAGAATTCATATTTTTCATTTGTTACTATGTAAGTCTCACTACTCCTGCATATAGATATTTGGAGTAAGTATATATAATATTTATGTTTGTGCATGTATGTTGCCAATGGAAATTAATGATCCAAAATCCAACTGCTTACAACTTATTGACTTGCAACTTGAGACTCAAGACTGGGGTATGAGTGCACTTCAATTCGTCACCCAAACAGATATTAAGCTGAAATATTGCTGATACCTTATATACCTACTGTCTGTCCAAGATAAGGAGGGCCAACATGGACGTTATTTAGCAAGAATCACCAAGTTTGCTTTTTTGGCGACAACTTCACTGGTATGTCACACATAATCGGAATTTACAAAATTTTCAAATGTCATTTAAATGAGCTCTGAAATAGGCAACTTTTTCCTGACTTAACCGACTTTACATCTTTTACGGATTTCCGATTTTATCATACTGACCCTCTTTATCCTAGACACATTGTATACTTATTGAGTATTATTTGTATTGTTAACTATTTCAATATCTATTATTTCAAGAAAGATCATGGAATACTGATCAATTGACTAGGTATTTTACAGTTTTTCCCTTCTCAAGTAGTAGATACATTCATTCATTTACTAAACAGTTGCTGAAATTTTCAACAGTTTCAAAATTTCTACAGATTCGAACATTTTCTTGTCATTTATGAGAAAAATCTGTTATACCAGCCTTCTGTATTTTTACAATTGAGATTCATTTTGCATTATTATTACACACATTCAGGCTCCTCTGTTTCAATAGATTTTTTTGTAATGTTCTTACTTTTGTTGTAGTTTGCAATATCGAATTATTTGTTGATTGAAAACTTATCTCTGTGAATCCCCAACAAGATAAGATCCCAAAATTGAAAACAATACTTATCTACTTAATAATTTGATAAGTTGGTGTATATAAGTGACAAATGTCAATCAATATATTTCTAATCTTGAAGCATACCAATTTCTTTTGAAGGCTATATTGAACCTTTGCCTTCTGTTAAACTTCAATGCATTTGTATGAAGAATTAAAAACCTTCCAAAATGTTTTTGCCCTCCAACTATTTTTGTTGACAGTTCAAAATCATTTCTATTTGGTGCAATAGAAATGTAAAATATTGCAAACAAAAGATGGTATATTTTTAGGAGAGATAAGTTTTTGGGGAAGAAAGGTTTCTACTTCCCTATCTTTATGTAAAAAATGTGGGAAAACTTCCAAAATAAACTCTTTACAAAGAGGTGTAGATCATGTATAGAAAGAAGTCAATTTCGAATTATTGTACATATACAGTCACTAAACCATTTTGATTGATACTCAAAATAACTCATTGAAATCGTTTGAGAAATATTACCTAAAAATGGCAAATGAAAAGACTGTATTCAAAAAATTTGTTTTTAGGATTCAAAAGTAGTTACCTGACAGTGTTCTTATTCATTATTCACCTGAACTGTTGTACTAGAACTTGAAAAACTTTTATTGTGCAAATTGCAAAACAGTGACAAATTACAAATTTTATTTTCTAACAAAGTTATTTTCTGTCATGAACATTACTAGGAATTAATATCAAATAACTATATCCACATTAATGATGTTTGCAGTTTCACTAAATAAACAAAATGTTCATTGCTTGCAGATGACATTTCTTTATTATGGTCTAGTCTACAATAAAGAAAAATGAAATGATGAAAATTAACATATTCACTATGGACAATAGATTGAGCTCCTCTTATTATCATTTTGAATGACCTGATTTGTGTGTAATTCAGAATGTAGCCAGATATTTTTGTTATGTTAATCCCCTCTTTGTTTTTCCATTGCAATTGTATCTGTTTAGGAATTTCTTTCGCCTCCCTATATACTGTTGAATAGTAATTCTGAGTTTAGTCAGGTATTTATGTTTTTTTCCAATGAGATAACATGTTATACCCCAGTGTTGCTAAAGGCTCTCTAGGGTTCTTAGTTGACTTGAGACTCTCTCTGACTGATGGTTTTCGTTGCTCTGTATATTGATTTTACATTATGTTTATCCAGAATTATCCCAATCGGATCTGTAATATTTCTAACGTAGGTGAGAAAAGATTTTTCATTCTCTCCTGCATCGTATTGCCTGCTTGAATTTAACTTCGGTGTACTCATTTCCTTTGAAGGCATTTTTCAGGTAACCAAGTTACTCGAAGAGACTTTCAGTTTCACAGATGCGTCAAGCCTACTCAACTAACGTTTTATTTACTCCTCTCTTTTGACGTAACCGGTGGTGGGAGTTTTTATTCAGATACCTGTCAGCATCAATTTTGCTAATATACTTTTTCAATGTTCTTATTCTTTTTGTAATTTGTAAGATGTATGTAAGATGTTGATAGGAAAATGTTATCTCTGTGAATCTCCAACCCAAAAGAATGAAGGTTGAAAACAATACTTAAGTAGGAACTTGAAGGTCATTAAAGCATTTCACTCAATATATTTCTTATCTTTTTAAAAGCATATTAATTTGTTATCTATATTGAACAATGTTTGTCTTCTGCTCCAAGTAACGGCTTTTGTATTCTAAATTGAAATATTTCAAATTTTTTTTTGCAACTTCATACATTTTTGTTTGTCATACATTTTGTTTTTGTTGTTTGAAAGTATTTCTGTTACATCAGGATAGTGACACAACTTTGTACAGTAAGATATGCTTTGATACTTCTTTCCTGAAATTAACAGATTTAAGATGTAAGATAAATTATTCAATTTATTTGAATAGTAAATCAGAAACGTTGAATAAAAAGAGTGTGGCATTTTCTACTCACAGAATGCCTGTCTTCTGATAAATCGAGTTGGATTTTTAAATCCCTGACTCTTTCGTGCTCTCTGCCTGTGATATATAGGCTTAGTTAAGACTCTGAGACGTGCGTTGCACGGTCGAGACTAATTCTCGCCGCCGTGTTCTTTGTTGAACTCTGTTCAACTCGTAGCTTTCCGAGGTCACTAGCCAGTGACCTCGGAAGGGTTGTCGATAGCGTAATCTACCGCGGCCCTGACTAGGAGGTTCTCATGAGTTTCCGCAATTTCAAAAACCATTTCGGGACTGTGTACTCTCCCGAATGGTTGGGAGATTCAGATCCCGTCTGATGTTGACGTTCCGTATATACCACGGAACGTTTGTTGCCATCCTTAGGTTTTTATTCTGGACTCGTTCCAGAATTTCGACGTGTGTTTTTGCTGTATGTCCCCAGACTTTTGAGGCATACATTATCATGGGTTTAAACACAGTCTTATAAAGTAAGACTTTGTTTTTGAGACTTAGCTTGCTCTTGCGATTGAGAAGAGGATACAAATGTGACATCCCCGCACTCACTTTAGTCTTCACGGATTCGATGTGCTTGGCCCAGGTAAGCTTGCGGTCTATAGTTAGACCTAGGTACTGCATTTTCTACTCATTATTTCCTCGAACTATATTAATATCAATGAACTATATTTCAATAGCAACCATCTTTGCAATTTATTGAAAGCAAAATGTTCATCGGTTACAGATGATACAATTTCATTATGTTTTTACAAAGTCTTAACCAGCCTACAATGCAGAAATCAGCTTATGATCAGAGATTCTTATTGAAGTCATTTTCTACTGACTTGTTACCATATAATTCATAATGCTTTATTTCAGTCAGTTATTCCATATGATATTCTGATTTGGGATCATTCAATTAATTCAGTTTAGGTGTCAGAAAAAGCCTTTAAGAATTCTGACAAAGCAGGGTTGAAGATCTTTGTCATACTCTTTTTATTCATCTAGTTTTTTTTTTGACACAAGTCAAATTCTGTGTACTATACTATATATTGTCAGAGAAAACTACTCAATTCGCATCTATGAAGTCATTAAATTATGCGCATTTTAAATTTATTGTCAAAAATTTTCTGTAACACCAGTTCAAACACATTGTGGAATATATTGAAGTGGCAGAAACTTTAACTAATGAACATCTCATTAAAACTGAAAACCAAAATGTTCATCTTTCAATAACCTATTTTATTGATTTTTATGTTATTTACCAAATTTGTAAATATCACTCTTATTATTTTGTAATAAATAATTTTATTTTATCCAACATTTTTGTATTTCATTTTCATAAATGTGAAGTTACTACAAGTGATTGAATGAACTACTTTACTATTCTCTAATCAATAAAGAGGATATGACACTAAAGAAAATTCAACAAGCCTTGCTGCAAAAATACAATAGAACACATTATGATCATTTACAAATTTAGGTAGGAATTCTGAAAATTCTCATTGAGTAAGAATTATCATCAACATATATTAGGGTTAGATTGATAAAAAAGTATCAATATTATTTAATGTCAATTAGTCTTTTCATTGGATGATACTAAAAACTTGAACTCGTGCTTATTAGCATTAAGAAAGTAGCTACATATAATATGACTATGCTTGTGCATGAGTGTTGCCACTTGAAATTAACGGTTGAACTGCATAAGATTTGACTTGAGATATGGTGCATAATCCATCCTCATAGAAGCTCTGAAATGATAATATAAACATTCTACATTGTAATAAATATTGTTATGACTAATCTTATTATTTACTTTATAAAGTTTGCCGCTTGGCATATTGAAAAAGTGCCAATTTGGTTTTGGGAAAAAACTCCAGTAATATTCATTACTAGACTAAAGGTTCCAAACAGTGCATCATAAGATTTTATGTAGTTGATTATAAAAGTAGCGACATCTTCCACAGCACTCTTCAAAATAATCTGATACTCCATATCCCCACAACCAAAGATTCTTTGTATAACTTATCAAAGAGAGAAGGTTCAACATTTTCAGAAGTGAAACAAAAAATTACTGAGTTGAATCGCCTATTATAATTCATCTGACGTTCAGATCTTTGGTATTGATATTGATATTTTGATTTGATTTGTTTCAATACTATCACTTATAGACATAAGTATTCCTACTTGTACAGATTTCAAATAATTTTTGTGAAAGTATTACTTGACCTATTTTTATATATTATTGTAAACAAGAACTGTTCTTGTGTACAATAAACATACAAGTAATATATGATTTAGTAAAAAAAAGCTATTTATTGTGCGTTAATAATTTTCCAACTATTTGAAAATGATATGAAAGTTGTTGATATTCAAGGTAAAAAAAAGTATATTATTCATTTCAGAGAATATTTTTTATGTATCAAAATAATGTTTCGTTTGCTTTAAAAAAATATTTATTGTTTGAAAATTTTGAATAAAGGAGTGTTTTAACCAATTTTTTGTGTTTGACTTTGCAAAAAATCCTTATGTGATAGAAAAAAATGGCCATCACTTTTGAAATCATCGCACTTTAAAACATATAATTCAGTAAAAATAACTCATGCAGTTGACAAAAAATTTTTTTTCGCAGACCTGTGTAATTTTCAGGCAGATACTACTCTATAGGAACATTTGGAAAATATAATATTCTTAATTTTCATTTGAATTTTTTTCTTGATGTATATATCTCTCCTCCAGACGATTAATGTCTTATACTAGTATACTATTTGTTTAAATTCAGATGCCATTATCCCTTTTTTTTTTCAGCTGGTTTATTGAAACAAATTTCAAATTATCAGAAATTTGAAGAATTAGACTGTAAATTGATTATTAGGAATGGCTCAAAAATGGTGACTTGATGGAATTGTAAACCTTCAACTTCGATCCATGGTTTCATTTTCTATTATAAATATAGTAAAACGAATTTATTTGATAAGTCATCCCAAGCTGTCATATGATATAATCTAATCTAATCACTAATAGCAAATTATGAAAGTAGACGACCTCTAAATCTAATAATATGTCTAATCAAAGAAATCCATATCACAAAGAAAAAATCAGATACATCATTTTTTAAATGTAACAATTTTTTGTGTTGCTGAAGTATTAAATAATCACCCATTTTATTTGAAAATTTTTGAGGAATAGCTGTCACTTCTAATTAATTGAAATGGAGGTTCACATTTTCAGGTTAAATAGTATAATATTGTAGCTCTTTTTAAAAATTGTCACTAAACTTGGAAATTAGTTTGCCCTTTGCTACTCTATGATGCTGTTACCAACTGGTTTTATAATTCATTAACATCACTGAATTTTTATTAATTCTTTTAATTCCAATTATATGGCATATTTCATTAACACCACTGAATTTCTATCAATTCTTCTAATTCCAATTGTATGGCGCCACTTGGAATTTCTGTGGTTTAGTTTGAAATTGACCATATTTGTTGAGAAATAAATGGTGGCTGGGTTTTAATTATTTTCGTTACAGATTCTAATCAATGAAATTATTCAAGGATTTGTCAAATATTTGAACTATTTTGACTAATGGCATTGACAATTATGATAGAAATGATTGTCAACAATGTAATGCAATATAAAACCAGGCTACAACTTTATAAAATACACTGTAAATCAGAACAACGGCTAATTTTCACTATGAAGGCATATAGGGTTCTCGATTTTGTTATGTGGAATTTGAAATATTTCAAATAAATACAGTCGTTAGGTAATTGTGAGGTGTCATCTGGAATATGCTAGTTGCATATGGAAGTAGTATACAATTGTACAAAAAATATTCCCGAAATGTTTATATAAAAAAGTTTGATGTATATTCCTTTGTGATTTATTGCCAGATATAAACAGGTCAGTTTGAATTTAGAAGGACTTATAGAGTTTGTTTCATAAGCTATGTTGAAATGTTAAATATTTTTTTGTTGATAAATCAAGATTATGACCTTCCTTTTTTTTCATAGTGGAATAAATACTGAATTTTTATCTTACTTTCAGATAAGTTATACTCCTAATTTAACTTTGCCACTATGTTGTAGGTAACTTATAATTTTTTCAAACCTTCGAAATCATCACTCTCAAAAAATAATATATCTCTAAGAATCAGATTTTGATTTCTGGTTTTCAATAATAGTAATTACTTATTAATTTCTTGTTGATTCATATACTTGTTTTTTTCTGTCCTATGAAATATAAAATGAAGTTTCATAAAAATATTTGGTTGTTATCAAAACGACTATTTTATATTTGAAAATAGAGAAATCAATTTTTCCCTATTTCAGGTCACTCCAGATGTTCTGATCTCACATGATAATACATTGGAGTTTTCATGCACTGTGAAAAATATCAGAAGTGATTCAATTTACCTGACATCAGCTAAATTGCTTCACTGTTTTCCTATGTTTTCATTGTATGATCCAAACAACAATACCGAAGATAACAAAATCATCGAGCTTCAAGCAGGTAATAGATTCATTACTTGAGATTAGTAATATGATTTCAGAAAAATAGCTTGCAAGATAATTTAAGAACATTCTTTTTCAATTACATAACTTTAGTAGATTATGTTTAACGAATTCTCAAAATAATAATGTAAATTGATTGATCGGTCGGTAGCCGGCCGGTTCGACGTGGGTGCTTTGTTCACTCACTCAAATCGACCGCCGCGTTGGTCGGTGGTTCGAGCCCCAGGCTAAAAGATCGATTTTCACTTGCTATCGTCCAACCCATGTTAGGAATCACACGTTGAAAGGTAAGACCTCGTTAGTCCTTAGCTCGCACAAGTTTCGACTTCTGAGAGTTGACGTTCGAAGGTGTGCGACAGCTGGTTAACGGAAAAACAGATTTCACAACAGAAGTCTTAACCAAGGTAGGGTTACAAGGAGGAAAAGAATATTTGAATAAACATCAAATTATACTGAAAAAAAAGTGCATTTGAGTGTAAAAAAACCATTGAGAAGGTGTTTACAAGCTTTTGAAAGACACATTTTTTGCTTAACATCTGTATACGAGTATAAGTAAAAAAGTGGAACTATGACAATTTGAATATACCTAATAATAGGGGAGCCCAAGCGGGGATTTCGGGATTTACTAAAGCGCGGCAGATTAATATACAGGGGGATACCTTGTACCCGATTAAGTACCTCCACCAAATATGAGCCCCATATATAAGGCCGCCTGTGAGGGATAAAGGATCAGATTAGTAAAAAAAATTGATCATCAGAAATTCTCGAGCGCGTCATATTAAGGTAGGGTGAGTTAATTACCTGCTAAAAAGTGTATATTCCAGTAATCTGACAATTTGAGAGTGACGTAAAGAAAGGGGGGGGGGGGCAGCAAAGTTGTAAAAAAATAACGTCATTTCGACATTCTCAAGCGTAGCTATTTTTTATTTTTATTTTGAAGGAAATAATTCAAGGTGAACCATATATATCTTAATCTGACGCGCCTGAGTATTTCAAAATGACGATTTTTTTTGCACATTATAATAATGGCCGCGAGTTTGCGTCAGATCGAAATCGTCAGATTATTGAATGAGAGCTTTTTTTGGTGCACTTAGCACCCCCTTAGAAAATCTGACGCGCTCAAATAATTTTTTTTTTCATTTTTAACCCTTACGTACAACCACCCACATCATGCAAACGATCAAATTAACATACCAACATTATTAAAAATACGTAGGACATTGATGCTATCGATATCAGTCGCGCTCGAGTATGTCTATGCAACAGTATTTTTTTACATATTTAAAAATCTATAGCCGCTTCCCCCACCGATGAAAAGGTGGGGGACATTTTTTTCTTCTCATCATCTAAGCTTTGCAACCTAATATGCCTCAATGACGCTCGAGTAAATCGCCATTTTGCATCGTGGGCTCCCTGCTATAAATAAAATCGTTTATAAATCAACTGAATAAAAGTATATTTACATACTCCGTTTACGTACTTCGAACATGGCATCTGATAATACTTTTTACTGAAATGTGCTTCCCAGAAGATGAGTTCACAGGACAATACCGAGCTCAGTTTACATACAGTGGTATCAATGTGTTTTTCCATGTCATTTCATTTTCTGAAATGATTCTTGAAAATTTTAAATTTACTTCCACTAAGCTGGCAAAATTCTGACATGTATTTTTCGTAGAAAATTCATAGACTGTTTTATTTTCATTTTTAGTCAAGCCATTTCTCAAACGATATTGATGAAATTCATATGCACAGGAATTGGCAAGCGGAATAGAATTATTAGATTTACTATTTTTTTTTAAATTAGTGTCATCCAATATCACTTTCAAATCTGGAGTTGTACAAAAATATTTTATATCAATCACAAATAGTATGAAGAGCAAAAGTTCCAGGATGAATCCCTGTGAGGCTCTAACTTCTGCATGAGCTTCTTTTAAACTACCATTCTTAATTTCCACTACTTGTTTTCTCTCACTCATACATTTCAAATAAAAATTCAAAACATTCACCTCTCCCAATGTTCCAAACTGTCAGAGGTAATCGCTCAATTGATTTCTGACGAACGAAAAGTGTCTTAAAAAATTCTCGAGGAAGTTTGCACAAATAACACAGGTCTGCGACCAAAAAACTGCCTAGGATTTTTTTACATTTTCTTACAGATTTTGACCTCCCAAAAACAGAAAAAATATTCAAATTATTATATCACATAAGTTTTTATGTATATTGCAGTATCTATGTTCATTGGTAATAAACCTATTCGATTTTTATTTGATAATGGAGAAAAACAACCTGAGCTGTTGGTGAGACAGGGAATGTTTTAACATGTTGGGACAAGTCAAATGACGTACACTTTTACACAATTATATGCAAACTAAAATTTAAGCACATAATTTTTAAAGAAAAATAGCGGTAATCATTTCTTCTTTGATTTGATTTCTCATTTTTTATTCTCTGCTACAATCTTTTCCCGTTATTTTGGCGCAAAATAAGTTCTAGCATATTAAGTTGCATTTATACCTTCAATTGACGCCTAGTGTATATCGCTTGAAACAAAGAAAAGCTCTCAGTAGACATACTGATATTCAAGTGAACAGTGCTGTTGTCTGTTAATCATGGCTACAAGGGGTTGTGTTATTTCTCCAAACAGTTTTTGTTATATCTGTGGTGAATTCGCTATTAAAAGTCAACAGAGAAATATAAGTGATTTTGTAAGGAAAGTTTATTTTGCCTACTTTAAATTAAAAATTGGTGATCAAGATAAACCATGGGCCCCGCATAAGGTGTGTAGAAGATGCGAAGAAGATCTTCGTTTGTGGTTTAAGGGAAAGAAAAATGCATTTCGATTTGGAATTCCTATGATATGGCGTGAGCAGAAAAATCACACCACTGACTGCTACTTCTGCTCAGTTGACGTAAAGGGATTCAATTCAAAAAACAAAAGAAACATAAGTTATCCTAATCTTGACTCAGCTATACGTCCAGTGCCCCATAGCTCCGAGATATCTATCCCGCAGCCACCTTCCTGTTTGGATGAATACCCTAGTGAGTTGGAGGACGAAGCTACATTGCCTCCTCCGGGTGAATCAAGCTCAGATTTATCTTTTGACGAAGATGAAAGGCCTCAACTACTTTGTCAAGGTGAGCTCAATGATTTAGTAAGAGATTTATGTCTTTCAAAAGATGCAGCCGAACTGTTAGGTTCTAGATTAAAAAATAAAAACCTTTTATCACCTGGCACTTCTTTCTACTGGTACAGACACCGAGAAAAAGAATTTACTCAGTTTTTCTCAAAAGAAGGAAATTTAGTTTTCTGCAATAATGTGGAAGAACTCATACATCGCTTTGATATAAAGTATGACTCATTTGAATGGCGCCTATTGACTCATATAAGACTAGCCTTAAAGCAGCATTATTGCACAATGGAAATAAATTTGCCTCGATTCCGATTGGACATTCTGTGCATATGAAAGAAGATTATAACGATTTGGCTATTATCCTGGAAAAAATTAAGCATCAAGACCATCAATGGATGATTTGTGAGGACTTCAAAATACTGACAATGCTTTTGGGTCAGCAGGCAGGTTATACCAAATATCAATGCTTCTTATGCTTGTGGGATAGCAGAGCCAGAGAACAGCACTGGAAAAAAAGTGATTGGCCATCCCGAGAAACTTTAAAATCTGGAGAGAAAAATGTTATAAACACTACCTTGGTACCACCAGAAAAGGTTTTGTTGCCCCCTCTCCACATCAAATTGGGGTTGATGAAACAATTTGTAAAATCGCTGCAAAAGGATGGAGACTGTTTCAAATATTTATGTACAAAATTCCCGAAGCTATCAGAAGCAAAGTTGAAAGAGGGAGTTTTCACCGACCCCGACGTAAGAAAACTTTTAACGGACCCTTCATTTGTAGAAACTATGAATGAGAAGGAAAAAGAAGCTTGGGTATCGTTCAAGGACATAGTATGAAAGTTTTTGGGAAATATTAAGGATCCTAACTATAAAACCATTATGCACCGGATGCTAGCAGCTTATGAAGCTCAAGGCTGCAAGATGAGCTTGAAGGTCCATTTTTTACACTCTCACATAGACTATTTTCCTGAAAACCTGGGAGCTTACAGTGAAGAGCAGGGGGAGCGATTTCACCAGGATGTCCGTGATATTGAGAGAAAGTACCAAGAGCGATGGGATGTCACTATGCTTGCTGACTACTGTTGGCTGCTTAAGCGAGAAACTGAAGATGGAAATTGGAAAAGGACTCGTCAAAGTATCAAGGAAAAGAAGAAGAGGTTTCATAAAGAACATGAATAAGTATATGTATCAAAATAATGTTTCGTTTGCTTTAAAAAAATATTTATTGTTTGAAAATTTTGAATAAAGGAGTGTTTTAACCAATTTTTTGTGTTTGACTTTGCAAAAAATCCTTATGTGATAGAAAAAAATGGCCATCACTTTTGAAATCATCGCACTTTAAAACATATAATTCAGTAAAAATAACTCATGCAGTTGACAAAAAATTTTTTTTCGCAGACCTGTGTAATTTTCAGGCAGATACTACTCTATAGGAACATTTGGAAAATATAATATTCTTAATTTTCATTTGAATTTTTTTCTTGATGTATATATCTCTCCTCCAGACGATTAATGTCTTATACTAGTATACTATTTGTTTAAATTCAGATGCCATTATCCCTTTTTTTTTTCAGCTGGTTTATTGAAACAAATTTCAAATTATCAGAAATTTGAAGAATTAGACTGTAAATTGATTATTAGGAATGGCTCAAAAATGGTGACTTGATGGAATTGTAAACCTTCAACTTCGATCCATGGTTTCATTTTCTATTATAAATATAGTAAAACGAATTTATTTGATAAGTCATCCCAAGCTGTCATATGATATAATCTAATCTAATCACTAATAGCAAATTATGAAAGTAGACGACCTCTAAATCTAATAATATGTCTAATCAAAGAAATCCATATCACAAAGAAAAAATCAGATACATCATTTTTTAAATGTAACAATTTTTTGTGTTGCTGAAGTATTAAATAATCACCCATTTTATTTGAAAATTTTTGAGGAATAGCTGTCACTTCTAATTAATTGAAATGGAGGTTCACATTTTCAGGTTAAATAGTATAATATTGTAGCTCTTTTTAAAAATTGTCACTAAACTTGGAAATTAGTTTGCCCTTTGCTACTCTATGATGCTGTTACCAACTGGTTTTATAATTCATTAACATCACTGAATTTTTATTAATTCTTTTAATTCCAATTATATGGCATATTTCATTAACACCACTGAATTTCTATCAATTCTTCTAATTCCAATTGTATGGCGCCACTTGGAATTTCTGTGGTTTAGTTTGAAATTGACCATATTTGTTGAGAAATAAATGGTGGCTGGGTTTTAATTATTTTCGTTACAGATTCTAATCAATGAAATTATTCAAGGATTTGTCAAATATTTGAACTATTTTGACTAATGGCATTGACAATTATGATAGAAATGATTGTCAACAATGTAATGCAATATAAAACCAGGCTACAACTTTATAAAATACACTGTAAATCAGAACAACGGCTAATTTTCACTATGAAGGCATATAGGGTTCTCGATTTTGTTATGTGGAATTTGAAATATTTCAAATAAATACAGTCGTTAGGTAATTGTGAGGTGTCATCTGGAATATGCTAGTTGCATATGGAAGTAGTATACAATTGTACAAAAAATATTCCCGAAATGTTTATATAAAAAAGTTTGATGTATATTCCTTTGTGATTTATTGCCAGATATAAACAGGTCAATTGATAGGAGAGACTGACAAGATATTTTATTTATTATATCATAAATAATATAACGTTCAGAAACTGTAATTTAATGAATTATATTTATTTCCGTGTATCAAAGATTAATTTGAGAATACTCTTTATCATAATGAACCATGTTCAAGTTCGCCTCTGAATAGAATAATGGGAAATGCATTTGTTCAGCTAAAGTTTAGATGTAGACTTCTTCAACGTCAATATAAAGGAACTGATTTTATTATAAAAGCCTCAAATTATACATTCTAGCTAATAATTGACTATGTATAGTTGGTTTAGGTAAATTGTACGTTTATTTAGGTTTTAAGTAGTTTAACTGTTTGTAAAATCTTTTATGATTTGATGATATATTATGGGAAATATTTCTTTAGGATCCGATTACAAAGTTTTTGTAAGATTCTCAAGCGGTGAAAATGCCATTGTTGGTGGATTCAGGATACCAGTCATTTTTTCATTTCAAAGTGTTGGTGAGAACCCGGATACGTTCACTATAGCGAGGTCAATTGTAAGTATACTATTTTTTTATTATTCATACATTCGTTCATTCATAGTTGGTCAATTAGCATGTTGATAAAGTTGAATATCATCATGGGAATAATTTTCAAAAGATCAGTACAGAGACAGGAGACCTCAGACCTCCCTCTACTAATCTTGATAACATCTAAGTTCTTTGAGTAACTTCAAAACATCTCTTGTGTTTCTGCAACATCAAATTTGTGGTCTTCCCTCCTGCTTATCTCTTCGTCTTCTCACGATAGTTTAACTGCATCCCTGCCTTAGTATGTTTCTCATATAATCAGCAGCACTTCATGTTCTTGTCTGCTCACCTGAGTTGACTACCTTATTTCTTATCAGTGTCTTCTTGACACAGTAATAATAATAATAATAATATATGTTACGTTCTTTTTTTAAGACATCAAAAGTTTTACTTTGCTTTCCAAACTATTCACTAATTGTTTCACAATATTACGCCTATTTGATTCACAATCATACATCACTGATCACTCTCGTATTCACTGTCCAAAGTCAAATAATTAACTCACTCTGGTAGCCGTGGTAGTTTGTGGCTGAGGCTCTAGTACTTTCCTACATACTCAAGAAAACTGCTTATTCAAAATAAGAAGTTTTCTATGGGGATAATTTAACTCACACTAGAGTATTCAAGAAGAAATTCTCGACATGCAGTGATGTTTCTACAAAGTAGTCTTTGTTGTACGGGTTGATTTAGGTTAGTGTATATTTTTAAGAGTACTATTCATAGCAAAAACTGAATAAAGATGGTATTGTTCTCATAGTAAATTATTTCAGGTTATATTTGTAGCAGAAGATCATACTGATTACAAAGTGCATGAGGCGAGTCCTTTCAAAGGAAATGAATGGCCTAAAAAAATAAACGTATATCCACCTTTAAAACAGGGGTAAGGAGTTATGTTTTTTAAAATTCGACAAATAATAATTTATTTTTGCAGCAATATTTCAAACAGATATCCTATACCATATGACATCGTAAAATTCCTGAGATTTGGTCTCCAAGATCCTCCAGTAATGAATGGAGATGATCATCAAATTTTATTTAATTTGAGGTAACTATCATACTTTAGTCAAATATGTACATTTTTATATTCAGTACGGATGTGAGAAGTATTTTCCTGTCAATTTTTGAAGAGGATAAGATATCAGAGTTATACAAAATTTACGTAAAAAAACATCGTTTTAAATACTTTTTGATGAGAAAGACAATAAAGTTGCATCACGAGTCGCTGAGGGGACACTACTGACTATTTTTTTTTTTTCAAATAGAAAGGGGTCTTATGATATTACTTTTGATAACCATGTCAATTCTCTGTCCAACACTTTTTTTAGAAATAGGATCGGCAATTTCTGAGTAAATGGCAGTTATATATTCATTCAATTTGACTTCAAGAAAAAATGAATTGAAAACTCATTCCAGTTAATCCCAGTGAATATTCAAAATGCTTACTCTTCACCATAATGATTTTTTTTTTCTAAATCTTATATTATTAATGTTCCTAAGATAATTTCGTTAGTAGCTTCTCTCATTCAATAAATGAGTTCTAGAATAGACTACAGTCGTGTAATTTATACTTTATAAATTTCAAGAATCCACACAAAACAGTGGTGATCTAGTTTGCTGTTCTAATGGACCCCGATTGCCTATCCACAGGTTTGGATAGCCTCTTTCGAATCAGCCTAATCTTGGGTAGGAGAGAAACTACGCCAGGAACGTTTCATAATGTAAAAAATAAATTTGTAAACAGTCATTATTATTATCAGGAATTGAATGGTAATCATTTTGAACCTTCATTGGATTCTTAAAACTCGAGCAAGGCTCACCCGATTTCCAACAACTATAATGTTTTTGATAGAGAATTGAACACTCACACAAGGTATCACAAGAACCCCTTTTCATTAAAAAAATAAAGCTACTAATGGACTCTCGATGCATACTCTTGTTTTCATTTCATCAAAAAGTACTGATGTTGTTTTTTCACACTTAAATGTTTGGAATGAACATGAAAGATAAATTAAGTTAGATAGCCTCTTTATATTTGATATTTGAAAGTGCATTTAATGTGCATGCATGCCATAATTGTAAAAATATTGCAATAAATCATTGATTGAAAAAAGTATGCCATGGGTTTCAGAAATTTTGCAATAAAATTTTACTGAGATGTGGTGATGGTGATGATGATGTAGGAATTCTACTGAGGTCATTCACAATACATATGAACAATATCTGAAAACTGTATGCTTCCATATTATCGCAAAAAAGTGATACCTAATTGGCAGTTTTTGAAAGTAAAAATTTTCTATTGTTATTCTTTCAGAAAAGAAGTAGAACCGGGTCATATTACACTAAAAAATTATGGAAAATTTTGGCATATTGTTTTATGGTTGGAAGAAATGGGACAGACTCTAGGACTGCAAAGATACAATATGGAAAATGTAAGAAAAATCTACCATTTTATATATTTTCTTTGATAAAATTATTTAAGGTAACGTTGAATCTACGTGGAAGAAATTTGGAACTGTTTGTTCCTGGTTTAGCTGAAAAACGCCCTTCAATAATTGTTGGAGATATGCTTGATATAAGAATACATGAAGATCACACAGCATATAGGGGCAACATTAAACGTGTCAATGATAGATCAGTTGATATTGGTGATATCGACGAAGAGTAAGTATTGATGGTATTATATAGGCTGTGATCAATGCTTTATCACCACGCACATTTGCATCTGATGGGTAAAATAAACAAACCTCCTTACGCTGGCTAATCAGATTTAACTGCAATCGGCTGGCGGAATTCATTGTTACAGTGTCGGTGTGATCAGTTACGTTTTAACGCCTGTGGTGTATACATACACGGTATTTGAAAGTTTAAAAATTTTTAAAACAGTACTGATGAGACTGAAGAAACTGCTAATTTTTGTCGCTGCACCCCACCGGAAACATTTTCCTATACACAGCCGCATGTTATTAAAAAAAATCGGTCGTTCCTTAGTGCAACTCTGTACAAGCAGCCTTGTCTGGGAGGTCCTGTGCACTACGCATGATAATGTTTTGGAGCACTGTTGCTTAGTTGGTCCAAGACAGAGCACAACAACTTCTTTCTTCATCCAAATACACTCTAAAAAGATAAGCTTTTACTTTCCACTTTCTTCTTAAGACCTAGACAGAAAACTATTTACTTGGGTACACATTTCTCTGAATTATTATCAGTTCTGCACGAGTTTCCTCATAGCTTGGTCCTGAGTACTATTTCTGATATATATTATTGATTTTCCCATGACTGTGCCAAGCAGTGAGATGTTTTTCTTTGCTGATAACACAAAATTATGGAAATAAGTCTACCTTTTTTGGAACCACAAGAAAAATTCAGAGAGACACGATCAAAGGTCAATAACTGGTTCAACTGTAACAGATTGTTTAAGCGACTCAAAAATTAATAAAATGTTTTTTTTTTTCGAAATATTGAACTAAAGTAAACTTGAATGTCAAATTTCTTGGAGTAGTTCTTGATTCTATCTCAACTTAAAAATCTCATGTGGGTTATCTATCACGCAAACTATATAGAGTAACATATCTCTTAAAAACTAGAGAAACACTGTCAGTATTGAGGGAGTACTGAAAGCATGCATACTGTGCACACAGTCATTATTTCTTAATGAAATCCTTTGCTGTTGTCATTCACTTATAGATAATATGTTAAAAGAAGGTTTAGGAATCTTTTGTTTCATCACACAATCTCTACGAATGTCATATTCAGGTGAGGATGATTTTAAGCGCCAACGATACATAATTCATTATTCATTCACATAATATTCTTCAAAAAGATGATTATGTACAATATGACCCGTTGAAAAAAAAATTATGGCTCTTATTACACAACACAACAAAAAAATATTTTTTGAATGTTTCCTACACTAAATTAGTCAATTTCTACTAATTTTGGGGTGATAAAAACAAAAATAACAATGAAAAATTTTTATTAGCTCTGGTTTTTGAGATACACAGTACTTAATCTTAAAGAGTAGTTATACTATACGTGAAAAGTGAAAGTACATAAAACAATATTGTTATGTTTCTTTTAGAATATTTTAAGTACAAAATTAATAAAAAAAACATTATTCTTAGTGTTTTGACAAATAAAAGAAGTTTGTACCACCAAATTTCAATTAAGTCCATCCGATTCATTGTAAGATCGCTGTCGTTTAGCTTATTTTTTATAAAACACTTCTGGAGCATCCCTACACACAGACCAGCAGTAGTCTGCAAGCATTGCTTCATTCCAACGGCCCTGATATCTCTGTTCCATTAAGGCAATGTCTTGATGGAATCTTTCTCCATGTTCGTCACTCACAGCTCCACAGTTTTGTGGGAAGAAATTAAGATGAGAGTGAAGAAAATGAATTTTTAAGGACATGTTGCATCCAAGTTGGTGGTAAGCTTGAAGAAGCTCTTCAACCAATGCTGTGAAGTTATCATCTCTTTTGTTACCTAAAAACCCATGTACAACCCCCTTAAAGGCTTCCCAGGCTCTTTTTTCATTTCCTGTTAAAATCATGTCAAAAGCAGGATCATTTGAGATTTCACGGATTTGAGGCCCAATAAAGATGCCTTCCTTGACTTTAGCATCACTCAACCTGGGAAACTTTGCTCTCAAGTACTTAAAAGCTTGTCCTTCCTGGTCCATGGCCTTCACAAAGTTTTTCATTAGTCCCAACTTGTCTGAGTGTGGTACAGGCCGAAGAGCAGATGGGAGATTAGGGTCTTTAACCGTTCCTCTTTTCTTCATAGATAAACCTTGCTTAATGGGAGGAGTTAAGCAGAAATAACAGTCGTCTGTATGATTGGTAGGCTCACACCAAACCATAGGTACTGCAAAAGCCATTGCCCGGTTTTTATTTTTCAGCCACTCTCGCAATATGACGGAACAAGAATTACAACATATATGAGGAGCCCATGATTTATCTTGGTCCCCAACTTTCACACCAAAATAATGTTCATAGGCTGCCTTAACGATAGGTGTCATTTTACGTTTCTGAGCCTTAAATGTTATTTCACCACATATATAGCAAAAGCTATCGACAGAATTCACACACTTTCGAGGCATTTCAGATCAGCACTTAAATTAATTTAAAAATCAACTTCACACGATAATTTCAATAGCAACCACGTGCGTACAATTGACAAACTCACATAGGTTATGTTTACTACTTAAGAACAGCTGATGAGAGGGGTGTTATGTAAACAAACATCATGTGTACCAACTGTTGGTGATGAAATATTTCATTTGTTGAAAACTCAATATACATATATATAATATAATGATACTATATCTTGAAAACAAGAGCTAATATATAATTTTTATGGTCACTTTCGGTTTTAACACGTGGAAATACATTAAAATCATCTAATTTCAACCCCGAAACAAAAACTTTGTTGTGTTGTGTTACCGATGATGGTAATAGTTTGTCCAGATGTATATTAAAGGATGTGTGCGATGAATAATATTTGCGGTTTGATGAGTAGTCATCATTGAATATTTTGCTACTAGAATAACTTCAGATACCAAAAACCCATTATTGAACATATTATTTGATAAATATCTTAAAATATCTTAGGGTTTATGTTATTGAAGATTTCAATATCGATACTGGAGAAACCTTCTGGATAACATAATTGTTTATTTTGCTGTCTACTGCTCTGTACAGATAATTAATTCATATTTCTAACACTATTGTGGTAAGATTTTTTCAACCATCAAAAATCCTTTTTTCCCTAATAGTTACAAAGATGAATTGTTTCCATCTAAAAATGAAGTTACTTCAGTAAATTTGAAATACAAAATATTTATTGATACCTGTCTACTATTTTTCTACAACACACAATGGAAATAGTGGTGTTTTGCATAACTAAATAGGCAATATCAAACAGGCTGTAGTTATTAAGTATTTTACAAAGGAAATCTGTTTACAGTGTATTGACTTAGTTATTATTTAAAATATTTTTCAGGCTTCTGGATATTATTGAACAAAACCCAAAAATTGAGATGGACGTACGGTTTTTATTGGGACGTTTATGCTTCGAAAGAATGCATGAAGCCGTTGATAAAATTGTAAGCAAGGGAATAGTTCAAACCATATTTCCAGAAGTGTCTTTGAGGAGCAGACAAGTTCCTCAACCACGTACCATAAGAGATGGAGAGTGAGTGACCAACCAATATTTCTTCCTTTTCTATAAGCTAAAAAAACACATTCATACAAATGTTTTTCTTTTTTCAGATTCTACAATCAGATGATTGTAACAAATCCTGAACAAAAAACGGCTGTTTTAAAAATTTTGAATGCCTCGTCTTTGCCAGCTCCTTATATAGTATTTGGTCCCCCCGGAACTGGTAAAACTGTAACAATTGTAGAGGCCATTTTGCAACTGAAGAATAAAACAAACAGTCAAATTTTAGTTTGTGCCCCTGCAAATGCTGCTTGTAATATGCTAACATCAAAACTATTGATGCACTGTAATAAGAATGAGCTAATCAGAATTATGTCAAATACTGTGGATGTGTAAGTTTGTAAAAAGAAATTTTTTGTAGAATAGATTGGTACTTATGAAAATCTATTATAAATCATATACTGTGGACATACAGTTAAACTCCAATTATCAGGATTATTAACTATACCGATCAATTTAAGGAAAAACATATTTTTTTATGAAAAATTAAATTGTAAATAATGCAAGTTCAAAGGCTGAGCGGGAGTAGAACATTTCCTATCTATTACCAAAATGTTTGAGTAGTAATTTTATACTATGCATATGTAACTATGTACTGTTTCCAATATGCTGTAGTCTGACTTGATTGTTTACAGTACAAAAAATTATATTTTGAGTACTGCGTTAGAGTCAATTTGTTGTTTTAAGTCACTTACTTTCTTTGTTTTCTCTTCAAAATAAGCTTTGGTATCAATTGATCAGGATAGTTCTACTGTAGTTCTACTGTATTAAAACCTGAATTGTTTATAGAATGAAAACACACGCCTCACTATATGTGCAAAAAGTAACAATTATACACTTTACATATTTCCACCAATACACATAATAAAAGTTGAAGTACTTTGTAATAAAGGTGGTATCAAAACTTCTGAAAAACACTTTTTATACTTGCCAGAGCACTCTTGTCGCCATCTACTTTGCCTTTTCCAGGCTTTTGAACGCTTCCAAAAGTCTTCTGTTGAATTTTTCAATACTTTCGAACAATTTCTTTGAAATGAGCTTTTATGACTCATTTAGTCTGGCCAACATCTTTTTTGTTGCGGTTCTCACAGCGTTTTGCAGAAATCTCAGTTTCAATAATCAGGTTACCCAACATTTGCCGCAAGAAACGAACTGTTTTGAAAGTTACTTTTATGTTATTAGGTTGTTTCGAAAGTTTTGTATGACTCAAAAATCTACTTGAAACTGTTATATCTCAGTAAATACTCATTTAATTCAATCGAAACAAACACCATTTGAATCACTGCACAAGTCGATTAATTCCGTCAGCATAAAAATTGTGTGCTCAGGATTCGATGAAGTCGACGTGGAGCAGGATCGGACCTCTTCTGTTGACCAGTGCCGGCTGCTGCTAACGCAATTTTCTGTACATTTCGTTGATTTCCTCACATTAGGACTCTGCTGTGATGGTTTGGCCCGGTTGCTGAAAATTAGAGTGAATCACAGCAGCCGCTGACAACCATACAGTAACCATGGTGTTTTTTTGGTAGCTTTTTGCCTTTGGGAAGTGCGTGGGGGGCTTATAGGTAACCAACCACTGCCCTGAACGTCTCCTGTTATTGTACAGGATCCACTTTTCATCACACATGACAATCCGATCTATTGGTTGCGCAAAAGCAAAGAACAGACCTCAAAACTTGACAATTGCTGTCGGCTGTTCAAATTCAGCCACTTATAGAGCTTTTTGACCTTTACAATACATTTTAAACCATCAATAACCACATGGGAGCTGACGCCCAGTTCTTCTTTAAATCCTCGTCTTCGATCACTTCGGGGTTCATATTAGAGGCTAAAATCTCCGGAACGAAATTTCGCAAACCAACGTCAAACAGTGCGTTCATTAACACATTAAATCATTTAATTTTTCTGGCTGTTTTGGCAGCATTTTGGTTCAATTTGAATTCGCAGAGAAAAATTAGTCAAAAATCGCTCAACAACTATAGTGGCATTTGGAAGATGTATTTAATTTTATTCCTAAAGTAGAGGCTACATCAATGAAAGGCAGATCAGTTTTAGATGTCTTTCTCATTGCATGTCCAGTATTCTGGTGTACTTACAGCTTTAGCGATAATGGATCTGCATTCATGCTGTTTATTCTAAAGCTTCTCGACAGTGAAGAAGAATCTTGGTTTGACAGGAGCAGCCGAAAAAACTTGGCTGCCGCACTCCCCCGTATATTTGGATGTTCTGAACCAGTATAATCAGGTCCCATTTCTCAACACGAGCATGAAAATAATTCAGTTTGTTGAAGCTAAAGGCTTCAGACTGCATAACATTTCTCCAATATACAAGTACCAAACAACTGCTGACTAGCAAATTGTTAATATTTCATTCAGAAAGAGTGGGGTTGACCTTTTGATTTGAGTATTTTAGTAAAAAAAAGTTAATTTGGACAGCAAGGGAAATTACAGAAATCAGCAGAATACTCCACTGAAAAAACCTGACACTTTATTACTCTGTCTTCCCCTCCTCAGTAAGACATTTGGCTAGAGTATCTTGAAGTTTCAATTAACAGTAATTTCCTCAGCAAAAAATATTTAATTTTCAATACTAAAAATTTTAATCCTGTAGACGACGCCAGTTATTAATTCACCAATAATGAAGTGGAAGAGAAATGTTATTTTGCAGTTGATACAATTTTCATTTTTTTTACTTTGTATCCGCTATCACAAAAAGTAATTTTTATTCTGGAAGATATCAAAGATATATGATTTTCATTTCCCAAAATGCAATCTAACAAGTAAAAATTACTTACCAAAAATTATAGGGTGGTTTTTCTGTTTAACATTTTTAACTTGTTTATCAAAAAAATAGAAAAAAAAATTGCATTTATTATATTTTTCAAGTGCCAAAGGCTTCAAATACATTTGAATTTATCACCCTAAATTGTCTATTCGCTCCATTATTGTTATTATTACAGATCAACTATTCACCAAGATGTACTGGAATATTCTAATTACATTGAAGATGGAGAATTCTATAGAGTAGACGCAGCTAAATTGAAGAACTACAGAATTATCATAACTACTTTGATTCATATTGGTCGTTATTCTGGTATGTTAAAACCCGATATTGTATTCATCGATGAGGCCGCTCAGGCTTGTGAACCAGAAGTTGATTGTGCTCTTGCTATGATCGAGAAGGGCAAGCAGATTATCTTGGCCGGAGATCCGAGGCAATTGGGACCTTCGACTTCGTCACTTGCTGCAAGACGATATGGTTTAGGTTAGTATGTTCATTCATTAGAATTAAATAAGGTTTTTGATTTACTTATTCAAATAAGTAAACTGTTGAGTCAAAATACCATAGTAACGCGTTATTTGAATACATTTTAAAAGATTTTCATCAAGTATTGGGCTTTCTGATAAACATTCTAAGGCTCATATCAAAGTCAACAATATAATTAATTGACTCATCTGAAAGACAATTATTTGGCATCTTTATTCAGTCAAAGATAATACAGTTCAGTGCAGTGAGTGACAATTTTTTATTATTTCATTTCTATTAGTCAAGCAATATCATTTAGTATTTACTTTGATGTTCTTTTTGATTCCGCGGCTGGAATCTTGGAACTAGATTAGTGGGAGACACTAAGCTTAGTAGCTAATGAAATATATATCATATGATGCAGTGTACACTTACAGTAATGTATTAAATATAAATATTCTGAATCTGTCATTGAAGTCGCTCTAGGTTTTACCAAACAAACTCTGTATTCCTAGACTGTAAGAAGGAACTACAGTTCGAAGAGGGCGACAGCTGGTCAACGGAAACACAGATTGAGAAGACTTTTAACTTGGCTCGTATCCTATCTCATAATTATCTAACTTGGCTACGGAATTATCATGTTTAAAGTTTGACGATAGTCGTGTCACGAAGTGTTCTGACGATGCATTGAATTTATTGGAGCCTCTGGAGACGCCCTACATTTTGTTTTATAAGAGAGGGGACATTGTTAGATCAAGATCTTCAGATTATGTGGTGCTGCAGGTTTTTCCGGGTTTTCCTGCAGCTAAAAAAGCAAATGCGCCACTGGAATTAACGAAGTCGCCCCGGAGTGCCAATTAATTTTTATTGTTTTTATTTTATTTTTATCGTTGTTTCAATAAAAACATATTATCATGTTGTTTCCCATATGACAAAATCAGCAGTCATTAACCTCTTTAGCACCAAAAGCTCACAATATCCTACCTATACAGTCACTCATGACTCACTGGCAATGAGGTTTCTATTTTTGAATATGTCTATACCAACGGTCGGCAACAGGCGGACCGCTGCCCGTTTGCAGACCGCAAAAGGTCGAACCTCGGACCGCCAAATATTGTAATGAATAGAATAGAATAGAAGTTTAATTAACCACATTACACTTTACATGTTTGTAGCAAGTCATGACAAATTTGTTACATATGCTTTCGCACAGCAAAAGTAATTTCAGATCGGATGAGTATAAAATATAATTTAAGATAAAAAGTAGAGCAACATAAAAATTAACATTAAAAACATGAAAGAACAACATGGTATAGCATATTTACGGTAGTCAGATGAGTATGTTGCTTGTATGTTGAGACTTAGGAGCGATTTTTAAAATACCCCAGATAATCAAAGACAGAGTAAAAGCAGCCCTCCAATAGTAGTTGTTTGATGGATTGTTTGAATTTATTCATACTAAGATCTTTCAGCTTGACTGGTAAACAGTTATATAAGTTGTATTCCAAAGAATTTTTTTTTGTGTTATACAGGGTGTTCCTTAAACACAAGCTAATATTTAAGGAGGTAATTCTTAGACCCATTTTAAGGAAAAAACGTCCTTTGGACGTATGTCCTAAACGCCTTAACTTTTGAGATACAGGGTGGCAAAGTTTTCAAAAATAATCAGTTTTTTAATAATAACTGAGATAATTTTGTAGACATCTTTGGCATATTTGGTACATATGTTCCATGCCTCAAGGCGCAT